CCAACCTTTGAACGGTACCAACTACAGGGACAATGCTAGCCTCCTAAGACCTATCCAATTGTCAATCTGTTTGTATCCTTATACTGAATAATATATACATATGCTTATATAGGTAAGTGTGTACAATGTACATGTATCTTTATAAGTATGTTTACATGTTTTTCAATTTAATCCTAGTATTTATGCTTTTAATGTGTGTCAGTTTGTTTTGTGACATTATTTGACTTAGTAACTTGTCGTATAAGATGTCAAGAGAAGAATCTTAGTAACAGATATACATTATGTACATAAATATATATTTTTTCTATTTTATTCAGGTATTTCAAGTGTTAATTCTATTCTAACGACTAACAAATGTACACGACCAACAATGGACTTGTTCATGTTCTACAATATTACGATGCTACGGCTAAAAAGTTGTTGAAAACCAAATACAAAGATCCGACAACAAGTACATGGAAAAATTCGTGAGGTACGCTGGTTCGTTCCATGCACGTGGCTTAGTTGGCATAGCGTCTGGCACGGTTTGCTAGAAGACGTCGATTCGAATCCGGCCGGACTGAGGGATTTTTTCAAAGTGTTCGTCTTTGTATTAATAATTACAACAAACTGGTGGAGTAATTTCACGAAAAACCATTGAATATCCTTTCAATAACAATTTAATTACATACGTTGTTTCATACAAACTGTACCTGTACAATATATACTTAGAGGATGGAAAAAAAATAATAAGTCTAAGAATATAATATTAAAAGTTTTTATGAGGTATTCAAAAACTATTTGTCTACAGATTACACAAAAATTTTACAATGAATTAACATGAAAAATGCCATCGTGGACTAAATTCGTAAACAACCGTACATCCATTAATATAAACATTTTAGTAAACACAACTAACAGAATTACTGGAAATAATTACAATCTATTGTATTTTACAACTATATGTTTAAACTTTAATTACCCCTTATTGCGTTTGAATAGTAAAAAAGGGATTTCGTCCAAAAACGGAGTTACGAGATTTTTAAATTTTACCGACGCTTTGTTATAATAAATAATTGGAGTTTTCATTGCTCTTGACGATTTACATAATTATATAACCTAAATTATTTTAATACGACTCTTCCAATGAACAATCTGTTGTTTTCTTTCTTTTAACCACAATGTAGATATAATGCGGATAGAATTTTGTAGGGTGACTTTTCCATCGTGCTGATATGTAGGTATATCAAGTAGTCCAGTCACTGGTTGAAGACGTATAGGAAAGTGAAAATTCTATTTACATACAGATAGATAGAATTTAAGGTATGACCAAACAGTTTTTGTAGCAGAACTGCGAATTAATCGCCGCGTTTGTTTTTCTACAAAATAAAATCCCACGCACTTGTTTGAAAACAAACAAAATGCCAATTATGTATCGGCTCGTAAAATTTTTTGTAAACCATTTTTTAAATTGTACAGACGCATGACTCACGCGTAGGTCATACGCGGTTACCGGAGATCGCTATGACGTCACGCTTCCGATCTCACATTTCACCTTCGCTGTGCGTATGCTTTCCATTATTTGTTAGTCTTTCATTATTCAATACCTTCAAAGTGATTGCTACGAAATCAATGCAGTGCCTATTCAAAATTTGTTATTCCTCCTGCGGTTTTGTGTTAGTCCTTTTGCGGTGGGTATTTTTGGGAGTTTATAGGCTATTGGAAATTGACCCTACACTTGCCCTTGCGTTGTCGTCGTTGTTCGTTTTGGCAATATCAAAAACTACCAGCTTATTTGTGACTTACCCTATGTAATGTAAAAGGTAGCGCAGATGTGCGAAAATGAAGTAAATTGCCGGCAACTAAGAGCTGCACAGTTCCGAATATGGCTATCGTTTATTTATGTCAAAACATCTGGATTTTACCGCGTTTTATTTTCACAGCTGTACTGGGTTTTTCCTCGTTTCATAGCAAAGAAATATGTTTAGGAGACCCAGCTAACGGTTAGCAGCTGTGTTGCCCAATGTATTTGGCCATACAAAGCTGGAACCTTGCCAGCGTTTTGGACAATACACGCCCTGTTACGGCGGGAACCCCATTTCACTAATATATTTTTTCTTAATCCGTCTCACCTATGGAATATGATATGGAAGGTGACGATGAGGTCGATGAGGAGCAGGGGCACTCAAATAATACCTATTCACTCTTGCCTTAAAAAGGCCAAGTTATAGCGTTCAAGGAATAAGTCTTACAGGCAGTGAATTTCACTCCCATAGTGTTCGCCATATAAATGTGGAATCGTAAAGCCCTGTGTTAGCAGCATATTATTATTCCTTTAATTTAGATCAAACATCAGCAACTTGTTGGTATGCTGTACGACATTAATAGTGTGTACATGATGTATTGACGTGGTCGACCACATCTATTTGAAAGATGCTAAGTAGCTAACTCTCTTCACCTCACCCATAGACCTTTCGGTACTAAAAGCCACTTGACAATGCCAAACAATAAAATGCATACTAGTAAAATGTCATTAACATGGTATCTCCATTTTACGGCTTGAATGGAAACCGCTCGTGTGCTCGTGCGATTAAATTCCGACGTGGTTATGAAAGCAGAGATGCTTTTATGAGCTTTATTTTGGTATAATGTAGAGAAAATATAGTTAGCAGGTGCGAGTATTTACGAGTACTACAGCCCCCATAGCATGGCTACGCATGATAGTCACGACACGCGCGATAAAATAAGCGCGCGCTATTGGCTATCTAAATTCGCTCAGATTGAGACAGCCAATAGCCCGCGCTTATTCCAATTTTATCGCGCGCGTCGCGACTTTCATACCTAGCTATGCTACGGGGGCTGATTTTCTTTGTAAGAAAATTTAAGTATATTTGTATCATTTAAAAGTCATTAACCTACGTTGTGTGATATGATCAACATTAATTATTATTATTTTATATGACTGCAATCTACAAGGTTTTACAAAGTGGTGCAATAACAATTTGGGATTTAAATGTGTCTATAGAATTTAACAACTTTGGCTGGTAATAAAAATTGTAATCTAAATAAATTATTTCTACGTACTGTGTTCACACAGGTCGCACAATATATTCCACTTTATACGAAGTATGCGACGTTTTATACGAAATTAATACACTGGGGACCTAAATACAACTTTGACAAGTTAAAAGTTCACGGTGGTCGTTTATCGCCGAGAAAACTGCGGTTTGTGTTGCAATATGATCAAACAGGTCGCATTATATATTCCACTTTATACGAAGTATGAAACGTTTTATATGAAATTAATACACTGGGAACCTAAATCCAACTTTGACAAGTTGAAAGTTCACGGTGGTCGTTTATCGCCGAGAAACGAAGTGTTTGTTTTATATCGCGCGTTATGCGTCGTATTTTCAATGTGTACGCATCGTCCCGTACGGGCCGTGATAGCCCACACGCAACTACAATATTTACTTTTTTATGTCAATGTCTTACAAGTTTACTCGACATAGGTCGAGTTTCACCGTGTTTTGTTGGATATAGATCCAACAAAACATGGTGAAACTACAAAACTTCGGCACCGATCTTATAAATGTTATAGATTATGATGTTAGTGTCAAAATGCATAAATAAACGCAGTTCGTGTCCAGAATGAATTGCTGTGAAAGTAAAGTAAAATAAATACTACCTACAAACCTTTTTTTTTATATGAGCCAAATGCTTTATGCATAGCCCTTTAGCCCTTTAGTTATGTGGGACTACCTTAAGTGGGACCGACCTGGGCCGCCCTGGTTGTCATTAGCGTTCCCGCGCTAAGGTAGGGATAGAGAAAGGGTCGGTGCGCTTGACCCATCCCCCTCAGACAAGTGAGACCGCGCAATGCGGGCGAGGGCCCCCTTTTCTCATCCGCTGGCCCAACTAGAGAATTAAGCAAGCAGCGAACTGCGTTCGCCTTATTCCGTTTCGCGTTGGCTGGATCTTCACGTTCCCGCTCTTCAACCTCCTATAGCGAGATTATCTCCTCACAGAAAAAGGTCACAAAAAGAAACATCATACATTTAAATCAATACATCCACCGACCAAAGCACATATGTCAAATTCATTTGTTTCAACTTTAATTCTAGTGGCGTCTTTTTGAACTTTATCATTCTCTTCATATCTTTCGACATTATAAACAACACGGAACAACACACTTTGTTTGTGATATGTTAAATAAAAATTGCCTTTTTTAACGTATGGCTTAAATCTGCCGACCGTAGTAGAAGAACAGTTGGCTGTAACAATTTCACCTAAGAAAATGTACATTTTATATATTATGCACTCATAGAATATTATAAATTATCAGGCGTCTTTAACGGATGTTTAAAGAATACCATATTTTCAATAATAAGTTGATTCATAATTTTATCCTAGATCATTTTTTTTGATCGCAACAGGAAATAATGTCCAAACAACCGTATCAATTAAAGTGCTATAAACCTTTTTGCTAACGTAATCAAATGACTCACCACCTTCTATACTTACTAGTTTGAACTCATTTTACAGTTTGTTAGTCTGACGATACCCTTTAAAATCTCTGACTCACGGTTCTACGGAACCGAGTGACTTGCCTATAAAACAGGAAAACCAGTAAAACAAGAACTCCCCTGCCTTTACACTCTTTACGAAGGGAGGCAACGATGAATTAAAGCGCTCTTCAAATTACTTCCCAATGACGTCATGAGGATACTGATCTTGATTTTTTTCCTTGTCGCGTGACTGGAGCCGGATGATGCTTTTTGTTTTTTGGGCCACCACATCATTTGCAATCGTGCTCTTGAGTAACATTGTCTTCTTCATAACCTTAACGAGTAGTAAGTTCTTTCTTTTTAGAAGTTTTGTAAAGTCCTACGTTTACTTTAAATGATAATAATTTGAACGTTTTTATACTTATCCTTTATAATTTAAACGAAAAAATACTCGAAACGATTCTAAATTGTTCAAATTATATTCACCTCTTAATTAAAGCAATTTTCTTTTGCAGATTTCAAGAAAGACTGGTCGGACCACGCACTTTGGTGGCCAACTCGGAACAAATGGCTGTCGCGTCCCAAACACACGTTGGACCAATATGGAGTTCATGCAGATGCCGCTCTGCATTTCACACCTATGCACAAACCTTTGAGGATCCAGCTACCGGACTTGAGATACATTGACTGCAAGATCGATTTCTCTATCGACACATTCAGCGCTGTAATACAACTTTGCAAACATCTTGGTAAGACTTCTTACATTTCTGTATTAAGGTAACCATCTTCGACTTTGGCACTATTTAGGAATCCATTAGAGACTCTTGAAAGCTTTCAATTTAAGTCACTTTTATTTATACAGAGCATGTAGGGGTTCCTTGTGAAAGAGTTCGTCCAGGGAGGTATTGGCCCTTACCTATTTCTGCCGCCCAGCAATAATGTGAGCAGCACTACGTTCCGGATTTGAAGGGAAAGAGTTCTCCTGGAATTACAGGCACATGAGATTTGTGCCCCTCAGATCTTTGCGATTTAAAACTAGTGGCAATACAACTGCTATGGACAGGCGTGTTGTCACTTACCACTTTTTTAAAAATCCCATATAAACAGTACGAACGTTCTGCTATTTGGAAATGTAAAAACCATATACATTTCTAGGTATACGGCATCCAGAAGAACTGTCACTCTGCTATCCACTCGAACAATCCCACCTGAAACAAAACTACCAGAATCTAAAAGAAGCGAAGAGGATTAAGTCAACACACGCGCCGGACACTAACACCTTCATTGCTGCAACGAGGGGTTCTTCCAATAGTTTGGATAAATCAAATGGGCATTGCCCAGCGACGCCACCACCTCCGAGATCACTGTCTGCTACACCTGTGGCTTCACAACAGGTTAGTGTTGAAAATATATGTTAACCTTGTCCTATAAAATACGGAACCACCACACGCTTTGATAATTATACAAGTATCATGTGTGCCTGGTAGATTTCTCGGGAAAAGAAGAAATAAACAAATGTTAATTTAATTGCCTAATTAAATTAAATTAAAAATTTAATTGTTAACTGCCTCTGTGGCCGAACGGTTACCCTGCCGGACTGCCACGCAGAGGTCCCAGGTTCGATTCCCGGGCCGGGAGAAATATTTGTATGGGCTATATTTCTTTCTCTTGTGAGTTTGGGTGTAATTTGTGGTTGTCTATGTGTATGTCCATGGCACCCGCAACACAGGGTTTCCCTAGTGCGGGGCTATGTTGAGTGTGAGCGTTATTATTATTATTGTTTAATTGTTTATCGTAACGTACGTTTGACTTTACTTCTCTGTGGGTAATCCCTGATAGAAGAAAAGTTTTTTGTAGCAGTAGAGCTCCTTGTGAAAGAGTTCGCCCAAGGAAGTAATGCCACCTTACCAATTTCTGCCGTCAAGCATTAATGTGAACATTAATGCGTTCCGGTTTTGAAGAGTAAGGGTGCTGGTTAAATTACAGGCACATGGGATTAACAACTTACGTCTCAGGGTGACGTGCACAGTAGTAGTTCCCCTCTGATCTTTGCGATTTAAAGCTCTGAGTGGCACTGCAACTATCTTGTATAGGCACCACACGCTTATCCATGATAGTTAACACATATGACTCGAAAGAAAAAAGAAAAGGTGATTTGTTTATTGTTAACTTGTTATTCTTCAGAATGGAACTCTTCGACGTTACGGCGGCCACATCTACAGTACCCAAAGCGATGGATCCAGTGACGGCGGCTACTGCGGCACTCCACCAAGAGCTGCCTCTATGGATGCCTTGGACTCGCTCAGTGAGCTTTCCCTGGCTGATTCTCCTATACAACCTGACAGCCAGTCAAGGGAATCTCTTCTCACACCAAAATCACTAATGGAACGTGCCAGAATGAATGTCGGGTTAGTTCAGAGCTTCCAATTTTATAATATCCTGGTATATTCAAGTTCTTGTATCCATTAGTTTAAAAGTAAACCAAGAGCAAACACTTTGTGTTTTACTTTTTTGTTACCACTTGTTGGTCGTAGCGCCATCTGTCAGAAATCTATGTCTTCACTGAGCCAGGTACCTTTTCAGCTACCAGCAGCTGAGTTGTTAAAAAAACAAACCAAAGATCTGGAACAAACACTGAAAAATTCTTAAGGTCCGCTGGTTCGTTCCGTGGCTTAGTTGGCATAGCGTCTGACACAGTTTGTTAGAAGACGTTGGTTCAAATCCAACCGGATCGATGGAATTTTTTCGTGGAATGAAGGAAGTGTTCGATCTTTATATTAATAATTATAACAAACTATAATCGTGGTGGTGAAACATCCTAACATTCAATAAACTTAATTATAATGTGTTATTGATTTGTTGTTTTGGAATCCGCGGTCGCAGGTTCGAATCCTGTCGAGTAGAAGGACTTTTTCGTTTGTGTTCGATCTTTGTATTTAATAATTATTTCAAACATCTTGGATCGAGAATACATGCAAGACCTAAACGGGTCACTACCACATATTTTTGTCATCCAAGTACGCAAAAGCTGTATAATGACCTCTAAAGTTTTTGTTTCACTGTAGTTTTAGGCCACGTAAAAATGGCAAACTTTAAATATCAACAGGAATCTTTTTATAGTAGCTATAAATTGCCCCTTAAATGAATTAAAAACGAATACTTGTTTCTTTCTTCTAGTTGGCTCGACTCATCCCTGTCCATAATGGAGCAGTATGTGCGGGAATTCGACATACTGCAGCTGCGATTCAAGTTCTATTCGTTCTTCGATCTGACGGCGCGGTCGCAAGACGCATCGCGTCTCAATCAACTGTACCAACAAGCGCGTTGGCAGATCCTTAACCAGGAGGTGCACTGCACTGAGGAGGAGATGCTTTTGTTCGCTGCTTTACAGGTCTGTATGAACCCTTTTTTGTTTAAAAACTCAGGATTTCGTTATTTTTATCATAGTTATGTATATACAATATCACATATTATAACAGTACCTTCTGTACCTAATTTCTTTAAAATGTGAACACTTGCATAGAAAAAACAACACAACAAAAATTATAATGAAGTTTGTATTCATAATATTTTTTGTTCACTATCATTGTTACCCGATCCCATATCGTCGCCTTGCTTTCTCAAACTCGTATCTCAAAGCACAAAGTAACTGAAAGACAAATTTTGCAGGATAATTTCATATCACATTACCTTCATATTCACACACTGGCTTTTACCTATTCTTAAACTAATGCATACAAATTAACACCCTTGATAAGAAATTTAAAATAAGTAGTAAGTTTTGCCATCTCCTGAATCTCACTCTTTATAAGACACGTGTTAGAGAAAGTAAGGCATCTATATTTCACACGGCATTACTTTATGTCAAAATATTACATAGGAAGGATTGTTTATAAAAAAAGATCGTCAATTATTTACGTATTTACAATTTCAGGTACAAATCGAGCTCCAAACTTTAGCTGGAGGCAGTATTGACGCTGCCGACGGTGCTCATAACTTATCAGCCTCAGCACCTGAAGACGAGATAGACGCGGCTCTCAGCGAGCTACAGGCTCAATTGGAAGGTGGTCCACCAGCCAGGCCTGATATCACACACGTGCCAGAACTGGCGGGGTATTTGAAGTATCTCAAGTAAGTGTCTTCTTATCTTTTATGTTATTTAAAGAACGAACGTGAGTGGACGTGGGAGTAAACTTTAACCTTGACTTCACATGCCTCAACCAGACAGAGGATGTCCTCAAAAAAAGACCAATGGTTCTAGTCCCGTTCTCCGTCTGAACCAATTACTGTCTAATAAGTACAATACAATACAAAAATTCTTTATTGTACACCATAATCTCAGTACAGAATACTAAAAAAACCTACTTCAAAAGTACGTGCAATTACATCTATTTGCAAAGTATATTGAGAGAGAAAAACGCCTTTAATTGGATAATAGCAAAACCAACCATTAAAATAATTGCTCCTTAAGTAACATTTAGGCGCTATTTATACAAAATGAATGTTCATCATGATCAGCCACCCTTAGAAGTGGATGATTTTCTTCAAAATGAAATTGGACCACTATGGAGCTACTCTCTTTCCAACAAAAAAGAATCATGAAAATCGGTTCACAAATACATACAAAAAAAACAGTCGAATTGAGAACCTCCTCCTTTTTTTGAAGACGGTTAAAAATGGAAACAAATACAATACAATTAAGTAAAAAGACAACCTTGGAATGGAAGTAATTGTGTAATATACAGGAAAAAAACTAAGTAACACTCAACCAAATGAACAGTTGCATAATGTGTATGAAACTTCATACTTGACATTGTTTTTTGACTTGGTCGCGTATTACATATTTGACAGTCATTGTTTCTGACGGATATCGGATGAAGAACGGTGGTAGACCCGAAAGTATCCCGAATTGAGGAGCGTGTATGAAGGAGGAAGTGAAAGTAATTTTTCAGGATTTGTCGCAGGAAAGATCTATGATCTCTGATTACCCTATTCTAAATATAAATATAAAATAAAAGTGTGTTCAGTGCTGTTCTTGCAATAGTGTCCGTCCACATAAAAAATATCTTGTTCCCAAAAATGTATGTTAATACTTCGCGGAGCTCTGGCCCTTGCGACATGTGTGTTAAGAGCTATGGTCTAGAGTTGCACTGCATTATTTAATAAAAAAAAGAAACTGAATTAACGAATGTCAACATTTCAATTCGCAATTCAACATTAATTCAATTGTCTCTGCTAACTAGTCAACCCATTACATACTATCTCTATTTCATATATTTATTCATTTTTGCCATTTCAATATCTTTATAATGAAAACTGTCATATTGCAACAGTACGCGGCGGAGTGTTATAATCATGTATATATTTGAATACTATACAATTTTTTTCTATGCTTTTGTTTTTTTGATGGCCAACCACTTACCCGTTTTAGACGTTAGAGCCATCAACTCTCCCGCCGACTGTTTTATTTATATTTATCATATACATGTCTAATATTGTAATTTCTTCTTCCATCCACCTTTACAACGCGTCGTGCACCAAAAGCAAGTGTAACAACGATTACTGTACCACTATCGCGTAAGACATTATATTACGCCCTTTTGCCCTGGAATTTTTATATAATGTACGGATGATTTGACAGTAATTTAGTCTGAGTAGAACAGATGCTACGGGAGACCATATCAAGTGTAACTGCCGTACCATTTTCTCGGGACGTTGCAAATAATTTGATTGTACTGTTTACGAGTCATATGCATGGCACAATGCAGAAGTGTAAACCTTACTGTTTAAAATAAATATATGAATAATAAAATATAATAAAGTAATGTAAAATAGGAAATGAAACTATTTTTCCAGATTTCAAACAAACCAATATTAGACATAGCTGTTTGATGACTGACTATACCACCTCAGTCAACCGTGACCATCGGACCTATAAGGGACCCGAAACGTTGGTTTATTTTTAAAAACAAATATACGCGATTTAAATCCGGAAAAATATATTCATTTCATATGTGTAACAATCGCGAAAACCTTAGGAGTCGTAATGTAAAATATATGGATGTCATGGTAGTAAAAACATCATGATATTCATAAAATAAATATTGCAATTAATAAAGCGACATCTCTTGTCAGCCGCTGGTATCTGTAAAGGTACCTATCTGCCTGAGTGAAGAAAAAACTTTCATAGGTTTCTCACAGGTGGCGCTACGGCAAAAGAGCCTTTAAATCCAAAACAAAGATCTGCAACAGAAACACGCGAGAATTTAGTAAGGCCTGCTAACTTCTCTCTCCTTGAAAACCTAACGTTCACCAGCGAACAAGTCGCGCAGTACGCAGTACCCGCATCTAATTTTGCTGAACAAAAATTGCGCGCTATTGAGACACTTGTTTGACATTTCAATTGTGAACTGATGCTATCGGCTGTATGCCCGATAAAAAATTTATATAATAAAATGTAGTATCCTATCCTTCGTACGGACCCTAGTGTCCGTAGAGGGAACCTAATATAGACGTTGTAGTAGGCTTTACAATAAGTTTATAAAACTTTTAAAAAAATCTCGGCACAACGTATGATTGAGATCTCGTCGACACTAATTGATAAAAGATCAGATCAGGTTTTTTTCTTATGACAGCTGAGCAGATGTTCATTGAACAAATCTAAGAACCATCCCGATTACAATCCCTTTGAGGTCTGGTCCATTAGTTTGGGAGTTATGATGCTACAGACGTATACACACACAAACAAAGGCTTCGAACTCATAACTCTTTTTGCGTCGGGGGTTATAATGTCGAATTTTACAAATATTATTCGTCTGATTTCACGTAGCCACCAGAAAGTCGTCAGATGACCATTCGATTCATCTCGTAACCGCCATGCACTAAATGTTCGTACAATCACATTTGAAGCGACTCTTTCCCATTCACGATTACTTACACTTGATAGGTTCTGAGGACCAATTTTTGAATAGTTCTATTTCAGTTAGAGGTAAACGACATTTCTCCCGATAAACAAAAACATCATGTGATTTGCATTGTTTATTACAAGACTATAGATGTATCGTACAATTTAAACGAAATATTTACATTCGAAATTATGATGAATTTTCAGATAATTTATTATTGTCAAAATTGTAAGTTATATAGTAGTAGTAATATAGTAGACGACGTATTTTCACACCCGCTTTAACTTTTCATTTGCGGACACAAGATACAAATATCCCTGCCTCCCATTCACACAAAGAGTATATAGTTATAATTAAAAATTGGTCTCCAGAATCTCCACATCAATGCCTAAATCAGCCTAAAAATTTTAAAGGCTAAATTAGGCAAATCAAAATTATTTTGTTATAGCTTTACTCACCATAATAAAACCTGTATATTGGCTGTGTAATTTAACAGAAAGGTACGTAGCATCTGCTCTATAAAGGATCTCCTACAAAATAAAATTCTTATGTTTCTTTGAGTGGGTAATAGTACATTATAAAAAAAATTATGATGCAGTATTATTTACTTGCAGGTAAATAATACGTAAATAGACTTGTCAGGTTATTTATGTTGTTTTTAATTATTAAATAGGTAGGTATGCACAGGCAAGAGCACGTAGTTTGAACTGCATATTGAACGTAAAAGTGGCCCACCTTGTTCTTTCTACGGGTAACTCTTCCGATTCACAATGGGCGAGATTTCCGTTGCAATATGGGCGATATCGAGCAAAAGCTTTAAGTTGATGCAATCTTGACTTTACATACTTATTGTTTAATAATTATTCCGAATCTGTCAAATCAGCCAAAATCGAATGGTATAACTTATAATGCCAGTAGTGAACTAAATGCAAGCACGCGCTCTGTACAGTATTCAGTATTACTAACATATTACCATTTATTAACATAAATTAATTTATCGTATATTAACTTTACCTATACACCTATTTATAAATATGCCTAATAATTCACCCACAATATAAACGAACACCAATGTTATGAAATCAAATTTAGTCTTTATAAATATACCTGCATTCTTTATTACTCAATGCACACAACCATATCCCTTTAAAGTCCTGTGTTATATCTAAATGCCAAAAATACTAAGATCTTTCCCCTAGTAGAAGTAGTTGCGTGGAGCGGGTTCATCATTAATTGGTCATTGTTTCAAGTTCATAAATACGTTTTTACAGAAATGTCAACAATAAGTGCCCTTGCACATTACAAAAAGAACAATAAAGGATGAACTGCGCACGTAACTTTGTATTTTTTTTGTAGCTTTGATGTTAATATAATTGTGGACACTTTTTAGGCCAAAGCGTTTCACCCTGAAGGCATACAAGCGTGGCTGGGTGTCATGCAGGGATGGTACTTTGCGTTTTCACTCTTCGCGCGATGCTGCTACGAGAGGCGAAATGCCTTCATACTCGGTTGAACTGAGGGGTGCTGAGGTAAATTCCATCACCATATAATAACAATGGGAAGTGATAACATCTCTTTTTTTTAATTATTTTTATTCTCCACCCGTTTTTGTACAGCTTACTTCCAAACAAGACTCGTGCTTAACCGTCTCACATTATATGAATTGATAATTATTTCAGTTCCTGTATTTTTTTGAAACATAGAAAACTTTGTGTATTTGTAAAATTTTGTAATTCATAAACCGAATGATGACTGCAGGTGACTCCTGACGCGCATCCAGCTTCTGGCCGATACAGCATCAAGCTGGAGGTGCCAGCTGACGACGCCATGCATGAGATGTGGCTCAAGTGTGAGAATGTAAGTGCATTTGCTCAAAAATAATTACACTAAGAAACATTTGCAGCCTACAAAGCACAATACCTCAATTAAAAAAATAGTTATCTGTTATGCAAAGCTGCAAAGTTGTTGTTTGACCTGAGCAAGCGAAGGCATCCAAGATTCAAATTCAAAAATAGAATTCTGAGCGTATCGAGGGTTTCAAGGCACGAGACGCAATGCCGAGCAAAACACACAACTTTTCACCTCACTACAGCTAGGAAAACGGTACATGAAACCGTTTTTCCAGTTGAACTATAACAAATCAGTTAAACAAAATTAGTTATCGTTGTCAAATTAATGTCAACAATAATAAGAATAAAATATATAATAGTTCTAGTTTTATATTACTTAAATAATGTACGACAAATTGCGTAGTTGAACGTGTCATTGTGTTGAAAAGACGCTTTTGCGCGCTCATTTCTAATGAGAAAGAAAGCCATTTCGAGCTACCAAGGTGAAATAGTAAATTGTACACCAAGTGCATAAAACGCGTTATCTCACCCCAGACGAGTCTGGATACTTAAGTCGAGGGTAAAATGGGTTTTATGAACGAGACACTCTGCTTTTCACTTCGATTGCGAGGAAATTAAACAGCAATATTACAAATAAACAATTATTTAATTAAAATTGAATGTAAAATTACAACAATTAGACATGTTTAATGTGATGGTTTTTTTATTTTATGCACTAGAGCACAATACTTTTTAATGCACTAGAAAAATCCTATTTTATGCAGCCTACACCTATAAATACGAACTTTAAGAGCATATGAGAAGTGAAAAAAATATTTTTGACCATACTTAACTGCTTGTACACGTAACCAGGGCTCCATCACTCGCTCGAGGTTACTTATTACTTATTATTACGTACAATTCTTGGATTGCTGCAGAAAAGTGTTGGTCCTGTAAGTGCTAATAAGTTAATTATGATATTTTTTTCATTGAAGGAAGAGCAATACGCCGAATGGGTAGCAGCCTGCCGCCTAGGTTCCCGCGGGCGTTCCCTCGCCGATGCGGCCTTCACCACCGAAGCTGCCGCGGTCAAAACATTGCTCGCCTTACAAAGGCCGCAGCCCGGTGCTGCGCTCAGCCAACAGCACGTGCCGCATCTCGATCGCTTGAACCCGGAGAACTATTTAGCTCCGAGATTCCTTAAGAAACTTAAGGGCAAGGTAGCCATTTTTAATAACATTTTCTTGAACTGATAATATAATAATAAAGTGCCAGAAACAAACAAATTCCCTGTACTATAATAACATAATAACGCACACACTCAACATAGCCCCGTACTAGGGAAACCCTGTGTCGCGGATGCCATAGTTACACACATAGACAACCACAAATTACACCCAAACTCACGAGAGAAATAATGGTAATTACCGGCATGGTAACCGTTCGGTCAAACTATGAGTACCAGAACAACGGAATTCACTCTAGAGCACCAGCAACAATTTAAAAAAGTTGAGGAAATCAACTTCTCGGTCTTTGAATTTGATCCTAGCGACATCTGCTATACAAATAGGTATCATATACGCTGCCTTGTACCGCCATTAGCAGTCCTCTTGAATTGCTGGCCCATGGTTTTATTCTTCTACACCGTAAGGTTGCGTAAGAAATCATTTTTTTCTTTCAGTTCACCCAACGCGTACTAGAAAGTCACGCGAATGTCAAAGATCTGCCACTACTGGAAGCAAAACTTCAATACATCAAAACCTGGCAGAACCTGCCTGACTACGGCCAGACGCTGTTCGTGGTGCGTTTTATGGGGCACCGCAAAGATGAGTTGATCAGTATCGCAAATAACCGCATCATGCGATTGGACCCTAACACTGGCGACCATATTAAGACCTGGCGATTTAGCACTATGAAGGTTAGTAAAACTATTTTTCATTCTCATCGTCATCAAGCCTCTTAGGTTCAAGTTACAATGCCGCGAAACGAAAGCGACTTTTTGAAAAGAAATTGAACATAGCATAATGAATTATTTTTTGGCTCGTATCTAGTTTGAACGTTACACAATTCATATAAAGTTGATTGTTATAGTTTCAAAAACTCGCTTTCTATCCGTTCTCTAAGGAGAGATTAAGGACATTGTCTGCCACACTGGCAACAGTAATGAATCTTATTCGATTTCATCATTGGTGTTTCCGTTCACCGTTAGCGAGAAGTATTGGAAGTAAGAAATTAAATTCTATCGAGTTCTTAGGTTTTTGCGATTGTTACACATAGAAAATGAAATTATTTTTCCGAATTTAAATCGCGTATATTTGTTTTTTCAAACAACTTTTAAATTAAATTCTAATTAATTCTTGCTTAAATTTAGGGAAACTTCGTTTTGTAAATAAAAAAACTTGCTTAGCTCGCCATTTTTGTTTAGTCAAAGTCAAAGTTCGTTTTATAAATCTCAGCCTAAGCACATTTTGCCGTGTCTTGTTCACTAATACACAGCTGTTTAAAAAAATACTTCCAAAATGTGTGGGGTGGCTGGCGACTACCCCATTTTTGTTGAGTGGCGAGTACCCCATTTTTGTTGGGTAGCGACTACTCCATTTTTGTTGCCTGGTGACTACTCCATTTTTGTTCCGTGGTGACTACCCCATTTTTGTTCCGTGGTGACTACCCCATTTTCATTGACAGTTTATAGCACTAATTTCTTCATTTCAGGCATGGAACGTCAACTGGGAGATAAAACACATGATGGTACAATTCGAAGAAGGTAACATTATCTTCTCAGTTCAATCAGCCGACTGCAAAGTCGTTCACGAGTTCATCGGAGGCTACATTTTCCTCTCTATGAGATCCAAGGACGCTAATCAAACGTTGGACGAGGAACTTTTCCATAAACTTACCGGGGGGTGGACGTAGATGGTAAATTAAGTTGGCGTGTTTATAGGTGCTTGTTTTAACTCTGACCAGTGGATATACGCGCATTAAAACTTAACTAGAGAACCCGAAAAAGCATAGTAAAAGCAAAAGAACTTCTATAACGCCAATTTCTATGCGTTAAAAACGATTTGTAATTTTAATATCCAATGTCAGAAGGAATGTGAAGCAACTTCGTCACTTATAATGGAATATCTATAGTGATTGCATTAAAAATATGTTTTAAACATCATTAGTGGATTTTTCGACGCTAGTTAGATGGCGCCTGATAGAGAACGGAAAATCTCAATTGATCAGAGTTAAAAATTAGAAACAATTTACTTTTTCAAGTTTAAAAAGTTAAGTGTATCTATAAAATGTATGAATTTTAATCAGTGCCTTTATTGGACATAGTGTATAGTTATAATATGAAATAAACATAAATTTGTTCTAACAAGGTTTAAGGAACGTTGTTATTGTATTAATTGTTGTATGGAATGATTATGGGTGACGATTCTGTTTAGGGTTTGTTTAAACTAAATCTAAATTGAACAGGTTTATCATTGCCACGCTTCAGAACCAACAATCTAATAAGACAACGTCGTTAGTACTAAGAGCTTGATTCACTGTAGAAATTATTTCTACACAAATGATGAGTCATCTCATACATTTCTTTTTGCAATATAATGTTTAATTGGCCCAGTTTATTCAAATTGTCTCTCGCTAATTCTTTTACGTGCATTGTTAGGCAGTGTCCAAAATGTCGGTTGTGGTACATTTACAACCGAAGTTGGTGTCTAGAAAATAAAATGTCTGCATCAACTAGTTTAAATTATTAGTTCTGATTGTAGAACTTATATATTATTATTATTATTATTTTGAAGTGAATTTCGGTCTATTTTCTAAATTAGTGACGGATCATATTACACTTGACATTCAATTTTATATTGTAATATTCTGACAAAGAATCATCGTCGGAATTGGGGCCAACCTTCAAGTATGAACTGAAGTATAAACTGATTCATTATATTCTGTCAACATTGTTTAGTTTTAGAAATGCACTGACATAATTGTCACCTTCAACATTGAAATCGGTTGAAATAAACGGTGAGGGAGATGGTTATTATAATCTGAAGTTATTTGTCCTTATTTTTACTTATTTGCCAAGGCAAAGTTTAGCGTATGCATAATGCAAAGTGCATATTTCCTACACAGTGTTAAGAAAAAATATTCAAAGGGCCATGTATTATTGTACCAAGAGTATGCATTACTATTTTGAAAATATGACTTTGAATCAATTATATATTTAAATATAGTGCTTCCAATTAAAGTGTAGCAATTTTGTAAATGCCAAATATAATTTTTCTATGCAGAATTTTTTCAAGAAACAAACAAACAAGTTTGTTTGTTTCTTGTTACATCACTCTTATAAATGTGCTTAAAAATTATGAGCTTTCTAATAAATATTTTAAGTTTATAGTTTTATTTTAATTTTGAATATACATCATTGTCTTTTTAGTATTTATTAGATATTTTTAGAATTATAAACTATTTCACTAAGTGCCATTCAATAACACAAATAAATGACTTTTGGTTTGGTGCTTGCGATTATAAAAGTTTTCAGGGAGTCGTGTTTTGGGATTTTTTAAATATTTTTGATTTATACAATTGTAAATAAATGTTTATTTCGACCAGTGTATAATGATTTCAAATTCAGTTACTGGTTTCGCCTCATTGTTTAGTACAGGAAAATTTTATTTCAGCCGGCGAGGTACTGAAGCATACTCCACAATGGAGTTTAACCCTTGTTTTACTTTTCGTACATTTCTAATTGGAATTAATGTTAAATTCAGATTTAAATATATTTTATGGTTGACTACTAGTCTCAACGAGATCGCATATGATGCCGTCGGTTTTTAAGTGTAATTTTCTTCTAATTGTATGAGTATTAACAATAATTCGCCTTATTTTTATGTAGAATTGTACAAATTGTATGTACACCTTAATAAATTAGTAACGTTTGTAAATGAATGTCAAAATAATAAATGTAAATGAATAACACGTAAAATCTTTTATTTCACATTTTTTAAAGTTACAATTTGAAAATTAAATCTTGTTTTCGAGAGATATTAAATTTAAAATTAATTTAGTATAGGTGCATCCACGACGCATCTCATTATATCGGTACAAAGGTACAAATGACGGAAGTACTAATTTTAGACAATGCTGACGCCAGTAAAAATTTTAGACAATGCTGACGCCAGTAAAAATTAAGTTTAGAGCTGTCCAATGAATGGGATTATGACATCGACTGAAATATTAAAATCTCTTGTCCTTGTACAGTTATGAAAAATACTGTGAGCCTCCAGGAAATGACATCTTTCGCAAACTTATTTTAAAATCATCAAGAAATATTTTTAGTTTTGCGCAGGTCACTACGCGAACGAAGCTAATTTAGCTTACCTCACGTCGCCGGGCATCTTTTCATATTTCGGTTCACACCGCGATCTTAGTTAACCGAGCTAACAAAACTAACCCAACGATCCCGCTAACTATGTAAAACATGTAGCCCTTTTGCTGCCCTTCACCCCTGCACTTATCCATTGTTACTATAAAATTTTCTTAGCCTAGCTGGCATAGCTACGTTAGCTTGCCTCGTTCACGGTGCAGCCTGCGCTTTACTTCAATCATTATTGATAAAAAGCTACAGGGGAAAAAAGCGGTATTTCTATGCTATTAACATTCTATCATCTAACACGGATATAGTTTCATGGATATTAGACACAGAACATCTATTGTATTATTCTCTATATGACACCAATAAAATGTATAATTAATTTGCTACTTGTAAAATCTGTAGCATTTTGGAGACATGAGCAAATAACATTTTTTAAAAGTACAGAATTATAAAATCTAGTCGTATTTTTACTTAGAGATAGTATGACGACCGCGATGTCCCAACGGTTTGTACTGTGGGCGCTGGATGAGGAGGACCCTGTTTCGATTCATGGTAGGACCAATTCGAGAAATGAACTTATTAAATTTGTTCTGGTCTTGAGTATTTTGGGCAGTGTCCCGGAGTGAATTCCGTCGCTTTGGAACTCATAGTGCAGGGAATTCCCTTGACCAGGTAATTGGTGTGGCCTATTAATAATGTAGTAACACAGTTTATTTCTCTACTTACCCTGATAGGAAAAGGGTGTGAAGTGTACATAATGTATGTAAAAACATGGGACAGTAAATTTTATGTAGATAGTCTTAAATGATAGACTTCAATTGCTCACTCAGTAGATCATCAAGGTAAATTATATTTTTTTAAGAATTTATATTAGAAAAAAAGATTTGATAAGAAAAAAGTAACAGGAATGTGTAGAGACTAGGTAAATGATTTTTTTTTTTTTGGCGACTGAGATTCTTCTGTTCTCCTGTGAAAAGAACATAATTCGAGTGAGAGACAGCTCTTTGTGTGAATGTGGTTTGGATGAGGGTTCCCTTGATCACATTTTCTTTGAATGTCCAAAGTTGACTTCCTTCTTGTATGACCTCCTTCCTTCCTGTCTTCGCCGCCCTATTAACCTTAAATCCCTTCTTCTTTATGTGTTTCCTCCATTTATTAACATTTTTCGTGATTTTATCCGCTCTAATAATATTATACTTTAGACTGTCGTTAGTCCATGATTGTTCTTTTTCATCTCAGGTATGACCTCCATAACAGCAGTTCGTCGAAGAGGTGTTCCAAAAATAAATACTTGCGTTGGCTTCTTTGATCAATATTAATTGACTGCATTCTTCGAAACTGACACCGACCCAAGCCTAGTGGCCGCCATATGTTTAACATTTCTTTTTGACTGATTCCGTTTCAGTGAGTTCATTGAGAACTGAATCAAATACATCACTATACGGTAAAAATAGCAACATTATTTTTTATTTGATAGCTATTAGTTTTCTATCTCTAATTAAAACACGACTATAAAAAGTAGTCAACTAGTCGCTATTCATTTAGAATATTTTCATGATAAGCTTCGATAATAAGTCTTTTGAAACAGGTACAACACTATATGAACATTTATTTTACTTTTCTATAATTTTATTAAGATTAGAAAACCTCTAGATGATCAGCGATTTCTTTGGGTTGACAGCGCGACATATGTATACATACATACATGACACAAGTATATTAAGACAGTTTAAAAAGTTTATTATTTAATTTTTAATTCTAATAATGTAATACTATGTATATAGTAATGATTTTTAACATCAATGTTCGTCTTGTACATCTCTCAACAAGTGACAATGTATACGGTCCATTACTAAGTTGTCTTACACAAAATTCTTATTTTACTAGATGTTTAATATACTTAAGACAATCAGTAAACAAAACTTAATTTTTTTTGGCGGACTAGGAAATTTCGTGATTTATTAATGATAAATGCTAAGTACTTACATAATGAACAACATATCAGTACACAGATGATCCAAGTTTCGAACTTGACATCAGGATTCTAAAATTATTTTAATTCCTTGTTAAATTGTGAATTATATTATCTTTCAAAATACATAAAGGTATGAATGAGCAAATAACATTACCATGTTTTGGCCAACACGGAATTTTTAAGTTCAAGAATAGTCTCCTGACGATTGTGTATTTTGTTTTTTAGTGCATTAAGAGCTGTAATGATCACTACCGGGTAAAAAAGTTGTTTAAAGGGTTTGGAGAAGACAAAATACACATTGCACTAGCCTCTTTGCCTCTTGAAAAGAATGTGATTTATGAACACTGTATAAGGTCAGGAATTTGGCTATGTGTGCAAAACGAGCCAAATTACCTCATATTAGCACATAGTTTCAAATAGCGGCCATGACTTGGCGGTACATCGTGGCAGAGTGGAGGAGTATCCATAACCAAGCCACAGCACCCAGCCACGTCATTAATCAATAGGTCAGTGTCATCATTTGACCAAATCAATTTGGGTTTCTCACCATCGGATATGCCTTTGTATTCCTCTACTGCAAGTGCGTCAATTTGGCCACATACTGTTCTTGTGAAGAATAATAGCCGGTCTCCTTTAAAAAAATGTATAATAAATTAACAATAATAAACTGGTAGCTTCGCAGCATCAAGTTATAATAACATATTACTTTATGTATTAGGTATGTGACATTTGTAGGATGTCACCTACATTTTTTCATTTCAGGGTTTGCATTAAACACATATTGTCAGCACCAATGCCCAGTCCCAGATTAATTGTTTTTTTTTTTTATTGAAAATGGACTTTTGAACTACCTTTAAAATATTGATTATTCTTAAATGTGTATGCTGCAGGTCAATATAGGTGTTTACAGCAAACACTGAATCTCATACTGACAAATTTAACACATATAAAATTATATATTGTGGGGATTCCACAGATACCCACTGCATAGTAAGTAATATATTAGTGAGGATATTTGTGGAACATACTGAAAAAATAGATTCATTTTTAGGAACTCGATATCGGTATATTTTTGTTTATATATAATTAAGACTACATTATAATTATATGAAGCCCTTACCCAAATTACAAATAGCAGCTGGTGGATGAGTAAAATTAGCAACAATTTCCAACTCTCTATCAACATTTGGCCGAAACCTGTACAGGTTGCTAAAATAACTTTGAGTGCAATAAATGAATCCTTTGAATGACGTCATACAGCTCATTCTTATATTTGTCCTAACAATTGCTAGCCAACGATTTTGTTCCTCAGTTTCATCATATCTATATATAGCTTCAATTCCTGAAGCATATACTTTGCCTTCATGAGTACATAGGCCTGGATTCTGAATGGCATCATGAAATTTTGCCACCTCTCTGAACGTGCGGGCTTTTAGGTCATATATTATCACCTTGTCAAGTACTACCCTGCAATTAATGTTGAAATTAGTCATGTTCAATAAGATACATAATTACAGTAAAATAAATAATTCAGTAGATGGTAAAAATTATAGAAGCATCTATGGCTACTATAGAGACCTAATGTGCACACTAACTTTCTGGAACTAGGCTGACTGCATGACACTAATATTTTTCTCATAAATTAACAGCAACCAAAAAGAAACTACAAAGCACTTTATTAATTTTATTTTCTCTGTGATATTTCTGATTGCTGTGCAACTACAGGAGAACATAAAGCAGAACTAATTTTAATGGCAACAAAAAATTGCAATCCACAACATCAATTTCCGTATATATTCCATAGTTAGATTAAAAACCTCAAACAAGGCATTCTAATCTAATAGCTAACTGACCTAAACGCACCTACACCTCCAACTATAAACAATGAGTCTCCTAGAACAGTAAGACCTGCATGTCGTCCGGAAGGCAGTTGGACTCCGTGGCTTATCCATTCTTTTTTCAAAACATCATAGACTTTAACATCTCTCATAAACAATCCTGTTCCACGGCCATGTTCACCACATGCAACGATTATTCTCATAGGACCCCATTGAGTAAATCCCCAGCCCCACAAATTTTTCTCAGCAATCTGCAGCCAACTCTCAAAACCTGATTGTTCTGAAAACTTATACATATAATGGTATGAACCAAGTGATGTCGAAACGAGAGGTGGTCTCTTTTTTTCATCTTTATGTTCTTTCTTTGTCCAAAATGAAACTGCTGCTGCATATTTCAAATTACGGCTTTTGCTCTCCTTAACTAGGTTAAAAACCTCTGTGTAAACTCTGTCTGTAAACATTTCACAAAGTTTTTCTTTGTTCTCTGTTATATTTGTAACTGACAGCCCACAGTTTGTTATTGAAACTTCATGCAAACAATCTATAACTTTAGCAGCAAGGCTTAGGTCGTAAGGCTCCATAAGCCTTTTGATTTCAACTAGGTCCCATGTTGTTAGTCTCCGTATATCTAAACAACATAAAATTAACATAATAGCATCTCCACCAGTTTCTTCAGCGATCACCCATTTAAGACCAAATTTAAAGACTTCTAACTCACTCCAAGCATCTATAAAAGGATGTGAAAGATACCAGTATAGCTTTTCAAAAGATTTTATGTAATCTGTTTTCATTTCTTTAAAAGACAGGAGACCAAATGCAGCCGAATATTGTTCTAGTTTAGTATAAGCCGAGGCTTCTGCTATGGACATTATTTTCAACCAGTTTTTTCTGGATAATCTTAATTGCAGAGTATATTCTATTTGTTTTATGAGTTCAGTGATCTGTAGGAAGTTTGCAGCCATAGCTATTTCTGATATTTTGGTCAGGCTATAATCATAGAGGTCTATGAGACCAATTTCCATGTATTGTACGATTATTTGCATCGAAGATGAGTCAACGACCTGGAATTTGAAAGACCTCACTCACACAACAAATAGTTTATACTGTTTTAACGATAAAAGTGAAAGTATAGAAATAGACGGTATCTGAAAAGTAGCATATTTTACGCAGTAACTTACTTTACAATGTTTTGAGTAGTATGTCAAGTAAGTCCTTTGAAACAGAATACAGCATAGGTACTTACATCTATAACAATCTGATTTTGATCATTTTCTATGTAATTCCCACTAAACATAGCTCGAAAATAATCACTGTGCTCGCAAAGTAGACTCTTCTTTACTTTAAACTCTTTATCTTCTATTTGCAATGTTACTTCTTCATTGTCACCCATTTCGAACTATTATTTGTTATCGTGGCGTATTGAAATGTTTTAAATATTCATAAAATAAAAATAGTGGACAATCAGTGCACTGCAATAAAAAATTTGCCGCCTCGCGCGAACAAAAGAATGAATGGTTTCGAAAAACTGTCACCTAACCTAACCTAGCAAAAGAATGAATGACGGTCTGTTTTCATCGCCAACTAAACAACAATTCTAACCATAGTTATTGAAACTTGATTTATTTTTCTTTTTACAATTGGAGGGAAGTTTGACGTCAATAACGTCAATTTCTTTTTCTTCTCACGAAAACGCATTTTTTTTTACTGTTCTTCAGTATTATTTTCTGCTTTGCTTATTTTATACCGTCATTTCTTTCCTTTACCAACGAAACGATAGTCTTGTGCAATAACTCTAGTTTGTTTTGTGTAGTTTGTTGAATAACACTTAATCTCGATGTGTAGGTGACCAAGTTTGAACTGTAAGAGTAAACATGACCGCCACTGCCACCGCTTCTGCCTCAACTGTCTCTGCAGGTTTAGCAGAGGACGAAGACGAGTGTGGGCCTCAGCTTATCACCAAATTAGAGGTTTTGTCATTGCTTATTATTATTTACCTACAACACATTTGCTGAAGCTCCACCGTAGTTTCTGAATATAATCATGTCTAAACTTGTCTACGTTCTGTTTAGGGCAATGGAATTACATCAGGTGACATAAAGAAATTGGAAGAAGCTGGCTACCATACGGTAGAATCAGTGGCATATGCTCCTAAAAAGTGGCTTATTACTATAAAAGGGATATCAGAAGCGAAAGCTGATAAAATACTATTTGAAGCTTCCAAATTAGTCCCTATGGGCTTTACCACTGCTACAGAGTTTCATCAGAAAAGGTGAGTGTATATTTGTGGAGTATGTATTATTTATTACATGAACTGTTTTAAAGTCAAACCTTTGGTACAACATTATCACAATAATATAATCTGATACAAAGCTTATGCTTTAGTGCAGTAATACACATCCAATTTCATGTCTGATGGTCGTATCGGATTCACTCAATACACGTCCGATACTTTCATTAGACTTTTTCTGAACTAACCTCTATTCCCTATAAATTGGCAACAATGCCAATGGCATTGTTGCCAATTTATAGGGAATTTTCCAAATACAGGGAATTTCAGCTCAACTCGTTTGGATTATGCTATGTGGGAAAAATGCCCTCGCATTCTAGAATTTTGTCATATTTTTGTTACATTGATGATCACTGATAAAAACTTTTTTTTTTGTATATGAACAATTTTTTTTTCAACATCGCATGCGCTGCTTATATAGGCAACATTTATATACAATTATCAGCAAACCGCTTACATGTTTCAAATTATCCAGTAGGATTAGAATCACTTGTCTTGAATTGTAAAATTACTACTATTATCGGTCACTGACAAGAGCCAGGCTCTTAAATAGCATGATGATGATCAGTCGTTGTGTGTTGAGCGCGGGCGCTTCCTTGTTATGACCGGTCCCCAGTGTGAAAAAAGAATACAGCTGTTATGGAACAAAGTTGAGCAGTAGGTATTTTGAAACTATCCACACACATCAGGGGGTCTACTCTCGATCTCCGTCCGAAACAATTACCGCCAATTAAGCAATACTTGACCAAATGAAAAGACGCGTGGTGTGAATGAAGCTTCATACTTGATACTTGTCTTTTCATTTTGACGAATATTACTTATTTGGCAGTAATTGTTTCGGACGGAGATCGAGAGTAGACCCCCAGGACCGTGCCCAGGACGTGAACGGGGCAAGCTAGTTTGTATGAAGTACGGACCCGTCCCGGCGCCGGCCCGGACATGGACATGTGTGAACTAGTTCTTACAAAATAAACAACTTTGTTTTTTTGAGCCCCTGACGGAGCACGGCCCGTCCACGTCCCGGATTTGTATGGATAGATCTTAATACCACAACTTGCCACTCATCAAGCATAAATATTAAGGTTTAAACTTAATTCAACTTGTTGAGTTTAGTAACAATTATAATATAATAAATCCGCCACGTCACGTCTGATCGGATCGGACGTGACGTGGCGTCCGAGTCGGAAATAGCACCGATTTTATTACCGATCCGATCCGATTTTTACTTTTGCGAGAAGACGAAATACCCGTCCAATTTTTCCCTCCGGTTTGCAGCATTACCAATGCAAATTATTCAAAATCCCCAAAAATCAACATTATTAATTTGGGGAGAGCAAAGGTCATATTTCCCACCAGTAATAATATTTATTCATTCTCAGTATTGAGTGTTCATACAATTATATGGTACGAGCGCCTTCCGGTAGTCCAATCAGACTATTGGATGGAAAAAAAGGAACCGGTGTTGTCGCACTTAATCCCACAATATACATGTACAAAGGCTCTGTGCTCCTTTTTTGCGTGTTTGATATTGTCGATAGAGTTACAGAATTGGAGAGGATGTAGGTTGTATTTCTGAATCTAATGGAGCAATAAACATTTTTGACGTAACTTCACTTATGCCTATCGAGTTCTTAGGTTTTCGCGATTGTTACACATTGGAAATGAAACTATTTTTCCGGATTTAAATCGCGTATATTTGTTTTTTCAAACAAACCGACGTTTCGGGCCCAAGAAATAAATAAATAAAACTAAAGTTGGAATGTTTTCTTTCTAAAATTAAAAATAAGGTATTTAATTAATAACTATTGTAACTATAGTGAAAAAATAGGGTGGTTTGCATTAATATTAGACATAACTGGTTGAAGACTGTACCACCTCAGTCAACTGTGAACATGGGACCTGTAAAGGGCCCGAAACGTCGGTTTGTTTGAAAAAACAAATATACGCGATTTAAATCCGGAAAAATAGTTTCATTTCACTTATGCCATTCTTCCATCATTGTGGTTCCATGAGGTGTGATTATCATTATGTTTTTAATCAAAATTGTTGGAATGGGCTGTTCCAAATGAGTAGATCAATATCTATAATACATGTACATAGATATTTGGAGTGACATGGACTGGTTAAAACCACCAAACAATAATTAATTACTTGTCGAATTCTGGATTTCCACTAATCGTTTTACTGCATAGTAAGATAAATCTACTCACCTAGGAAGCAGAAGTTGGGTTTTAAAGTTATTCTAGTGCCACCATGTAAAAAAAAGTTGTAGATAATTATTTAACTTTTCACCAAAGTAAATATTTTTTATGAGATACAAGCAAAAACTTCATTTAAATAAAACAACAAATTCCAAAAAAGTAACTAATTAATATTTGGCAGGTTTAACTACTCCATGTCACTTATATATTTATATCTAGATATTTATCTACTCATTTGGAATACCCTATTCTGACCACTGGTTATATTACATTGCAGTAGGGTCGAGTCCAGTTCAACATTAAAATATAGGCCTAGTTCACAGTGAATCTGAAATTAATAAGAAAAGCATAGTGTCAAGAACCATAATTACTGTGTGTTTTACTATGTATTACAGAGCAGAAATTATTCAATTAACAACAGGATCAAAGGAGCTGGACAGATTGTTAGGAGGAGGCATTGAGACTGGATCTATCACAGAGATTTTTGGGGAATTCAGGACTGGAAAGACTCAAATTTGTCACACTTTGGCTGTTACCTGCCAGGTATGCTGTACAAACTTTTCTTGCTATATATTACATTACTGTATATAACTGGATATATTTTTCTGTGGGTAACCACTTCATATCGACATACTTAAGAAGCCTGAAGCAGTGTCTGAGGACAGGATTTGCTTTGTTAATTCGTCTGTAGGGACTAAATAGTAATAGTCTGACACTAGTTTCTTTGATGTACGTATCTGATAATGTAAATTATTCTTAAAAGTTGTACCATAAACTATGACTGAAACTTTACGATAGGGAAATAAACATGCCTTTTTATATCCATTATATCAACTGTACTCAGCTGAATTAATACATTATTGTTTCAAACACCACATGCAGGGCTGGATTTAACATTAGGTCCACCACGCCCTGGCCTTTGGGTGCACAATCTCAGGGCGTGCTCATTAAATAAAACATTTTTAAGATGTTTTGGAACAAAGAGTGCCTAACCATTAAATCTGACCCTGACCACATTCAAAGTATAATAACTGTTAGGGTCCTAATGGGACATAAAATAAAAAGTGGACTGTATTACAATAGAGCTAGTATATTCACTGTCTCCATTACATGGATTGGTTTACAAATACAACTTGGTACTTGGTGTAAATGGCTGGTGTTGTGGGTGCAGGTTCCAACTCAGCTGTGTCCTTTAATCCACTGTAGAGTTACGTGGCTTGCAAATACAATATATAATGAAAGATCGACCGTCGCCAGTGGCTGTCGATAAAGCGAGTCACATCAATGAAAAAATAACTAAAAATATTCCTTACTCTCATTTTCATCAGCACATACATGTACACAACATAACACAAGTGTGGTAACTCCATACAAACCTAGCAGTGCGGTTTGTATGTGGGCACAGCCGCTGCGTGTCGTGTACAAACGCACACATTTGCATAATTTGGCGATGCACTCGCTTTGCATAGCGTTGGCCGTCTCACACGCTTTTCATTATTGTGCGAATGTGTGCATCGCCGTACAAGGCGCGCGGCGGGGGTGCACACATATAAGCCGCGCTGCTACTTATGAGCGACAGGCGCAGTGGCAGTGCCCCTCAGATCTTTGTGATTTAAAGCTCTGAGTGGCACTGGAACTATAATGGACAAGCGTGTCGCTTACCACCAGGCCCACGATTTGCTCGTCCTGTCATTTGGTATCATAAAAATGTCTTATTTATACTAATGACCTGGTGCATCGGCGAATATTTTACGCTGATTGGCAAATCCTTTCATGAGAACTTGATAAAATGCGATGTGTAAGATATCCTAAGGTGCTAATTAAACTTAAAATTGCTTACTACTGTATCTAGAGCTTTTAAATCCTCACTAGCTATAGTCACTATTTATATTTAATATTGGAAATGAAAGTATTTTTGTAGATCTGAATGAAAAAAAAAACAAACACGCAATTTTTTTTTTTTTTTTTTTTTTTCAAACAAACCAATGTTTTGAGCTCTTTACAAGTCCCATTATGGCTAACTGAAGTGCAAACCACCTTATTCCGAATAATTATTAATATTAGACATAATTGATTGAGTTTACCATCTCAACCAGCGTTGACCACGCAACCTGCAAAAGAGCCCAAAACGTTGGTTTGTTTAAACGCGACTTAGGGTCGTATTGTAGAACTCTACTCAATGCTCAAGTCAGGATTTGAGTATGGTTCAAAATCATACTCAAGTCCCTGCCATTAGGGTCCTATATCCAGTGCTTGTGTTTCCAGTACAATCCTGACTTGAGCATTGAGTAGAGTTCTAGAATACGACCCTTAGATCCGAAAAAATAGTTTCATTCAAAGTGTGTAGTAATCGTGAGAACTTAAGAATTTTATATTTATTTAATATTGTCTAGCACATAGGTTCCCAAACTTTTAGGCCCTCTTAGGCAATATAAAAAAAATTCAACGCCCACCACCACAAAAAAAAAATTAAAAACACGTATTTTTTATATTGACTTAAATCACAAGGGAAATATATTATATATAGTGTAGTTTATAAAGATAATTCAGGTTTTTTCTTTCAAATGTGGTAGCACCCCCTGGACAGCATCAACGCCCCTAATTGGTTCCACTCCCCTGGGACTCTTCAAGGGACCACTTTGGGAACCTATGGTCTAGCACATATAAAAATCATGTCTATTTACAGCTACCAATAGAACAATCAGGTGGTGAAGGCAAATGTATGTACATAGACACAGAAGGCACATTCCGACCCGAGAGGTTGCTGGCGGTGGCGCAACGATATGGAATGGAAGGCGCGGCTGTACTGGACAATGTAGCATATGCTAGAGCTTATAATACTGACCATCAAACGCAGCTGTTGGTGCAGGCTTGTGCTATGATGGCTGAATCGAGGTAAGCTAATGAGCAGAAGAATAAAGACTTCCCTTCCTTTCCTTTCTTTATCTCGTGGTAAGTTTAACAAAATGAAGTTATACAAATTATTATATATTTTCGTAGCAGTAGGCCTCCTTGTGAAAGAGTTCTTTCGGGGAAGTATTGCCACCTTGTCTATCTCTGCCGCCAAGCAGTAATGTAAGCATTACTGTATTCTGGCTTCGAAGGGTATGGGTGCTGGTGAAATAGGCACATGGGATTTGTCAACTTATATCGCAGGGTGACGGGCGCAGCGGCAGTGCTTCTCAGATCTTTTAGATTTAAATCTCTGAGTGGCACTGCAACTGCTGTGGACGGGTGTGTCGTTTACCACCAGGCGCACGACTTGTTCGTCCCGTCACTTAGTATGATAAAAAAGTAGATTGCAAAGTATGTCAAAAATAAAGTGTCCATAAATTGATATATTCCATATTTCTTGACATTTGCAGATATTCCCTAATAATAGTGGACAGTGCAACAGCATTGTATAGGACTGACTACTCTGGTCGAGGAGAGCTCAACTCGCGACAAGTGCATCTTGGACGCTTCATGAGAATGCTGCTCAGATTAGCTGATGAGGTATAAAAAATCCAAGATAATAATAATAATAACGCACATTGAGTGTATGCGTTATTATTATATAGCATAGCACTAGGGAAACCTTCAAATTACACCCAAACTCACGAGAGAAATAGATGTAGGCCATACAAATATTTCTCCCGGCCCGGGAATCGAATGTGGGACCTCTGCCTGCCAGGCCGGCCGGCCGACGGTAACCGTTCGGCCACGGAGGCAGTTAATAAGTAAAGGATTTAGTCAAGCTTTTTTTTTGCATTGCACAAAGAAAATCATTTGTATGTGTTAATTTTTGCTACCACTGCAGTTCTAAGAGTTTTCAAAATCATTAAACGCTCGAGAACCAATTATTGAAGATACACTTTCTTGCGTTAGCTGCTGAATAAATTTAGGTACAATTTACATTGCCGTGGAAAGGAATGGAAGCTGAATTTTGTAACAATATGTGTAACATACGACTAGATACGAGGCAAAAAACAAGTCTCGTATCTTTCGGAGAATTCCCGCGTAATCTCGTAATTTCCGCAGTTACCGTCTCATATCTTGTGTGTACACAATTCAAATAAAAGTTCAGCTATTTACAAAAAATTGGCTTCCGTTCCATTCCGAGGCAATGTAAATTAGGCCTTAAAATCTTAGAAATTACTAGTTACTATTGGCGATTACTCCACCTACTAAAGCTCTTAAATAAGATTGTTTTTAATATTAGACAACATCACATACGTTGCTCTAATCCCAAAGTAACTAAAGCATTTGTGTAATGGAAATCGGAAACAATGACAGAACCACAAACACCCAGATCTGAAACAATATAGAAAAGTTAGTTTCTACATTGACCTCGCCGGCAATCGAACCCGGAACCTGAGATGGCGACACCATGAAAACCGGTTTACAAGCCACTCGACTTTAAATTTCTTTTTGATAATGCCTGTGCAGCCCTACCTACATCTTAATAAATGTACTGAAAACAAGTGTTCGTTAATTTAGCAATTTATTTTCAGTTCGGCGTAGCAGTAGTAATAACAAACCAAGTGGTCGCCAACGTAGACAACGTGGGTGTATTCAACGCCGACACTAAGAAACCAATAGGCGGGCACATCATTGCGCACGCGTCTACGACGCGACTTTACTTGCGCAAGGGCAGAGGGGACAACCGCGTTTGTAAAATTTATGATAGCCCGTGTTTGCCGGAGACCGAAGCCATGTTCGCTATTAGTGCGGAAGGTGTGACTGACGCTAAAGAATAATTTTGAGTTTATTATTATATAAGTATCATTAATCTCCATTTACATTATGCCACTCTCAGTGTCGTATTCCAGAACTCTACTCAATACTCAAGTCAGGACTTGAGTATTGCAGTGAGCACTGAAAATCATACTCAAGGCCTTGCCATTAGAGTCGTATTTCCAGTGTTTGAAATCATACTCAAGTCTGCTCAAATCCTGAGTTCAGCATTGAGTAGCGTTCTGGAATACGAGCATATGTGTACAATGTCTATTTTACTACATACTTAATCATAGTGTGCTAACTGATCAACTGTTATTACTATTATAACTAAGTGTAGGTGGAAAACGGCGCAGGCGCAAGTGTATAATTCTGTCATCGCACAATATTATTTCAATGACGCGCCTGATGTTTCCTTATCATCCTACGCGATTTATTATACTTTTTTGACGCTGATAAATTTTGTATAGCTTTGGTAAGCGTGCACTAGTGTAATTCATATTATAAAAAAGTCGCATTTAATTGACGAAACCTGATTTACATAGTAATGCTATATAAACGTGAATAGTACAAAAAGTGCCTTTTGGAAGTTAGCACCTAGATTTATTTACAAAATGTTTAATTTTAAAAATATGATATTGTATTGAAATAAAATAAGTTTTGTACAGAAATAAATCATTTGTTGTGATGTCTAAAACAATTTTATAAGGCCATTTCTTCATAGCAGGGATATAAATGAAAAATTGCATAATTAAATAAAATTACTGTAATTCAAAGATTTTATGAATATAATTATGCATTTGCCATGAATTTAACGAAATATTGAAAAATTATCACTAAAAAGGTAAAGCAATTTAAACTTAATACCTCATTAGTGTGATTTCCTTTTTTGATTTGCACAATCTTCAATTAAACAAACATATTTCTGAATTCATACATACAAAAACATATATTTTTTAAGTCTTAAATAAAATGCAATATTGCAAAGTTGTAAGTTCCTATCAAACAAAAATTTGGCTTTATTCCATTACATTTAACAACACATATGAATGACATCGTAAAAGCAAACAGTCTTGATGAATCCAAATCTGTTTTCTACTGAAGATAATCTCTAAAATACGAAAAATCTCGCGTGTGTGCCAGAGCCGGATTTAAAGTTCGCATGCTCCTAGTAATGGGACTTTTGTGAATATTTCATTAATATTTTTTGAGCAACCCCTGACATTGCGCCTATAGTTCAGGGCCTAGTGAGCCTATTGATAAATCCAAACCAGTATGCCCAAAAAGCCCCAACGGAGTACTTCCAATCGCAGTACTGCAAATTTTAGTAAAAATCCTAATTTATGTTATGTCTTCACACTTGTTGTTGTAGTTGCTTTTGTAAACATTATGCAAGGAACTTATGACTGCGTTAACACATAAAAATAGTTAAGTAAAAAATTTGTTAAATTTTTGCGTAAATTATTATGAGCCCATAATTTATTTAAGCTCATAATCGAAAATGCCGTATTGTCGAAGTGTTATTCGAACGCGCCTTTACAACAATAGCTAGTATAGAGTATACACTATGGGGCCTTCTCAGTACACACACGAACACAGGACATGATTGCTGTCAGTCGGACGATTTATCGTCACTTGGAAATGGTTACCAATGTGGGCGGTCCAAATACTGTACCTAACTTATTTAAAAATAAAATTATCACCATGTATAATTAGATGTCCAAAATATAAATAAAGGGGATAAGAGAGACAGAAATAAAATGTATTTCTTTAGTAAACGGTAGTTTCCTCTTTTCAAGCTGTAATCTGGTAAGATTTAGAACAATCACATTTTGCTATGTATATGTATATTCACGTAATTACCTTTACTACAATAGTTATAATAAAAGGCTGTGTTTAAGGTCGGAAGTAATTTTATGACGCTATTGGTAACACAATCGGGATCATTGAACTTTGTTTGTCGTGTAGATGGCATTCGTGCTTCGTTTTCGAACTCGAATGTTATTGTGTGTTGTTGTTAAAGTTTTTGTTTAGTGTTAATCTTTTTGTAATAAATAATTGACATTTTAATTGTTCCAATTCCGTTAAAATATAATCATACTTTGACAACGACATTTCATGACTCTTTGTTTCCATTTTGGACATCTAATTTATCACAAACATAATCATTTGCATGGGACTTCCAAATCATAAACTTTATAAGCACATGGTAAAGTTATAACCGCATCTGCATTCTAAGTAAGGTATTTTAAATAGTGCTTGTTATTACAAGGATGACAATAATTTATTTACAACAAAACACATTGAAGCTCGAATTATATTCAGCGGTTCAGCTGCGCGTTTTAATTATGATATGAGAGAAAGAGAAAACAACAGCTGTCGCATTTTTCATTCGAGTTTAATGGCGACCGAAAACACAATGATTATAAAGTACTCTGAATAAACGAATTATTACAAACGTAAGAGCGATGCCACATCATGCGTTGCGTCGATGATCGGTGACGCTGCGTTGTACGTACTACCGTACTACACATAAATTAGAACTACGTGCCACATGTTACGTGGAAACGGTGCGCGACGCACGTCCGAACGCATCGGGCGAGGGGCTAGAAGATGCAACACACCGGCAGCGCCGCGTGTGCCATCGCTCTTAAATGTAAAAAATGAATCAGTAGTTATAAAATGTTGTTTTGCTTTAGTTACGTGATTTATCTTTTATAGAATTACAGTATAGCAACATAATTATGTTGTCCTACATTTACATGACTAAGTCCAAGCAAAAAGTAGAGCGGGTGTACTAATGGTTATTTTAAACGTTCTGTGTAAAAAAATCCCTGTTGTCTTCATAACTATTTATAATTTTGTAAACTGACTGTTTACTGAGTCGATGTCGTCTTGGAGCTAAAGTAAGCAATATTTTTTACATTTTATTAAGGGCAGTACACGACATAATTATTACACTTTTTTTTTGTTAATTTAAAGCCATTTCGTCGACATTTATTTTATAGAACTTGAACACAGGGTCTGGTCGAACATGTTCAGATACATTACCTTAATCTATTTGTGTTACAATGAATGATATAGCCCTTTGTTCCGTCTTAAAAATTAGATTTTTCGACTTAGAGCATTAGACTGGTGAAGCTTATTGTTTTATAGTTCGTCAAGGGAAGGAGCGTCACTGCCGCAAAGCAGTAATGTCGAGCATTTTGCGTTCCGGTATTGAAGGGTAAGGGTGCTTGTCAAACGATAGGTATATGGGACTTGTAAGCTTTGTCTCAGGGTGACGGGTGCAGTGGCAGTGCCTCACAGATCTTTGCTATTTAAAGCTCTAAGTGACACTGCAATTGGGTACGCGTATCGCTTACCAGCATGTCTTATTCATCTTGTAACTTGATACTATTTTTATGGTATCAAGTTACAAGAGGCAAAAGTCGTCGGTGATGTCCACATAGTAAGTACTCCATCAATTATTGTATTTGTTTTTATTATTATTTCTATATAGTCGACAAAACAGCAAGGTAAAGATAGCCTTCAAAAGAACTTAAACATACTCCAAAACCTTGTATATTTAATTGTAGTTTGAAGTCCATCTAAACCTAATGAAAATAACCTATCAACACACCATTTTCTAAATAAAGTACTAGATTATAAATAAATTAATTACAAACTAAGAGGCACTATAAATACCTATGATCACTATAATTACAGTTCGCGTGCGAGTTGATGACCATCAGAGCCTGGGGGTCTACTCTCATTTTCCGTCCGAAAAAAGAACTGTCAAATAAGTAATACTCGACCAAATTAAAAGACGCATGATGCGAGTGAAGCTTCATACTGGACGTTGTCTTTTAATTTGGTCGAATATTACGTTTTTGACAGTTATTTTTTCCCCCGACCCCCTGACACGAGGCCGTACGTACTATCTGTTACTGATGCATATGACGTGTGTAGCTTACCGTGTGATGACAAGAGGGAGTCATTGTTTCAAGTTAGTTGGACATAGCTTTGGCAATCTTAAGTTTTTACATAAAATACAAACCCGATATTGACTTGTAATAAGTTCTCCCTGTCGCGGAACTGCTATATAGATAGTAGTAACTAAGGCTCAATTTACATTGCCGTGAAAAGCGAAAATGGAAGTCATTTTTTTACCATAGGATAATAAACTTTTTTAATACCTACCAAGTACGTAACGGGACAAACGCGTCTTGTGACAAGTCTATCTACATATTATGTAGATAGACTATAGAGTATATTATAACAGTTGAGTGCCAAACAGAGCTTTAAATCGCAAGGATCTTACGGGCATTGCCACTGCGCCCATTGTTAACTTTCACAAGGAGCTCTACTGCTACTAAATTTAATAAATTAAATTATGTGAATTGTGTAACGTACAAACTAGATGCGAGCCAATAAACAGCTTGTGCGTCTTCAGAATTCTCGCGCAGTTTCGCGAGTTCCCTCAGCTACCATATTGTATTTTGTTTGTACGTTACACAATTGATATAATCATGCATGTGCAATTAAGCTTAAAAAATCAGCTGGGAGTACCGCGGCAATGTAAAATGAGTCTAGTGTACCGAACTCAAAACGTGAGGTCAACTGCCGGATCCAATGTACCGGCGATATTATTATTATTAGGTGCAGTATTCAAAACGCTATTTCCTAGATCTTAGTAGAAACAACTGTTATATAAGTTGAGATCACGAGACGAAGTGCGCGTAGATAACCTCTATTCCTTCTTACATCATTTGCTATCTTTTTCTAGCACTTAGTCCATTAATTGTTATCCCTTTCAAGACCTAACATTATTCGCATTTCGAAAGATGGTTATCAAACAGCACGCGTACTGTTGTACATTATTATTGTTTTATTGTAGAATAAAATATAAATTCATTTTATTTAACAAATAACTGCATAATATGTTTTCTTTCAATTTTATTTCAAGTTATATTGCATTGGGATCACAATAGTCATAAGTACACGTACATATACCAATCTATAGTTTGTATTTTAACTCTATTAAAATGCATTATTATTTTTAAATACAAGAGACAGGAAAAGAATATATAGTTTGATGCCAATAAAATGCGACATTCTCTACGCAATGACAATAATATCTCATTTTACAATAAATATACAAACTTCCATATGATACACAGGGTTATTTGCAAAATACTAACAACTCTATATTCCACAATATTCAATAAACAACTTTTGTTCCATGACTTTTTAAAAGTATTTACTAAAAAATAAACGTTTACTTTTATTTTGTATAACCTAACACTTATCAGATCTGTCTTTGTTTGTAGGAAGTTCAATCATGCACGCGTCCTCCCCGACGACCCCCAACCCAGCTCCTACGCTTGGCATCGGACTAGTTTAGCTAGCGCTTTCTTTTGTTACCGTAACACTAACATAGACTAACTACACTATCACCGTTTAGAGCGATCTATTTAAATAGTTTTATTTTTGAACGCAAGGAAAATCTGATGAATTATTAAAAGTTGTTGTATATGACGTTAGTAATATAGTCCTGCAAGGTTGTTAAGTATTTTAAAAATAACCCTAATATTCTGCTTCTAACTATTTGAAAAATACTATTTTTCTTTGATTACAGGACATTTTTTAAAGGTATATATTATATATCTAGGGTCGACGGATTAAAACACATAAGCAAAAAGTGCTTCATTTGTTAATATATAATTACATATTTTCTTGTGTTGTTTATAGTGTTGGAATATGTGAAGAGAATGAAAAGACGCCTCTAGAATAAACTTACAAATGTATGAAATAACAAATAAATTTGACTTATGTACTTTGGCCAGTAGATGTATTAATTTAAATGAATGATGTTGGATTTTAACTTATGTGGTTTAGTCTGTCGACCATAGATGTATTCTCTATGTATTCAATACTCTATAACCGCGACAAAAAGTCAAATATAGTTAAGAAGTTATAAAGTGTTCATAACTTCTCAACCAAAATATATATTGTTTATTGGTTTCAGAAATGTCGCCTATGGTAAGTTTATTTTTTTATTTTTTCATATAAACAACAGTCATACGCAGGATATTGTAATTGTATTTGCAATTAGAGTTATGAAACTGACAGCTCTTATTAATGTGACTGAAAAATAATGTTGCCATGTTTTTCTAACTAATAAGTGATTGGTTCAGTTCTTAGTGAACTCACTGAAACAGTTCAGTCTAAAAGGAACATTAAAGATTTTTGACTATTAAACTGCTGAATATATTTCAATTCACATTTAGTCCCTACGTACTTCTATAATTTATTGTTATCAAATTCCTGATTTTTACAAATTCCTACAAATTATTAAAAGAATATAATTTACCTTGATAGCCAACTGAATCATTGAAGTTAAATCCTTTAAGACAAAAGTATTAAAAAATGTATTTTTATTGAATATCATGTTTTTACTACCTATGATATTATGATATTCATCTTTTTTTTTGTCGTAACGCCATCAATTTTATTTTAGTTTACTTAGTAAGTTCGCTCAAATCGAAGGAATTTCTCTCTGTGTTTGTTCTGTCTTTGTATTAATTAATAGTAAACGTTATTATAATTTGGTTTAAAACTGGCAATCCACTAAACATCAGTTCATTATCTCTAATCAAAAAAACAATTTTAAAATTTGTCCCATAACCAAATAAACACCTTGTATATTATAATAACCAGGCGAAAATAAAAAGGCGGTCTTCTCCAGGTCTCTTCTGCAGTTGTCTTGACAAAATGAATCACACATTGAATAATCATACATAGGCTTTGCTGCGATAGGAACACATGTGACATGTTAAATGATACACGATAATAATTAAATGCAATGTTTATCGTATTACTAGAATAAATTATTATTTTCAGAAAAAATTATCGCCTTTAAAACTTTAATTCGTCAGTGATAGTGCAATTACGCGTAATTAGCATTTAATTACGAGTTTCCATTTTGGTCATTTAGTGACCAAATCAAACCCGCGTAAATGTCGTGGCAACCAAATTAACGTGATTTAACATTAATTAATGCTTAGGGTGCGTTCCCAATAATCAGTAACATTTTATTTATCGTTGGACGACTGTTGCGTCTATCACGACTTTCTATCGTGACTGCGTCGTGGACTTTTATTTTATCGTAGAACGACTGTCGTGTCTAGCTGTTCCCACTATATTGTGACGACAATTTATCGGTTCACGGCAGCAGCCTTGTCACATTTTTATCGTGACGTTTTATTTATCGTCTGACGTCTGTCGTTCTAGCACTTGCCATTGTCACGACAGTCTGTCCTCGTAACGTCAAAAAACTCGTGAACGACAGTTAATTGTGTTGTATTTTGCCCTCAGAACGAAGAAAGGCACAACTGCTGTATAAAGTACACATAGTTGTGCCTTTTTTTGTTACGAGGGCCGTATTACCATATGTGAATCTGCGCGACTATCTGTCGTCACGACATAATGGAAACGCGCCCTTACTGTGCAAAAATGAAAGTCGTAGCCATTTTAAATAACAAAGTAATAAAGTTTAATTCCTCTCCTGTAAAATTTGATTTAGTGCAGATACGCGCCTTTTACCAATACTACATACGCGGATTTGCACTATCCCCGACGAATAGTCGATACATCATCCTCGTAAAAAGGCTCGAATACATTGACCAACTTTACTAGCGCGTAAACGTCACACACGTCAGCGAGTAGCAAGTAAACTACCCCGGCTTTCAAGTTTCTCGCAGATAGTAATTAAAATTGTTTACAATGTGTAAGTTAGTGAACATTTACCAGTAGCTAATGCAATTGCTGGCTAGTCCTAGTTACTCGATCAATGTAATCGAGTCTTTAGATTACCTTTTTAATTCCTAGTCCGATGTACGCTTGTAGTAATTTTTAAAACCATCAATAAATTACAATTTCGACTGTCAACTGGCAACCGGTATTATGTCAATTTTCTAAAGATTTCACTTTTTAATACCATTTTATAATATTTCATACTCCGCAGCGTTGCAAGAAATTCCATTGTTTTTAATAACATGTGTAATAAAAATATTTAAAAACTAGGTATTTTTATTTAATAAACCAGATGCTGTATAAATGACGCAAACAAGTTTTTACTTCATCCTGTAAAGTTGTTAAAATTGATATAGTACCGATTGCCAGTTCACAGTAATTACATAAATAACACAAAACAAATTTGTATGCATGTAATATATAGGCGTATAGTAGGCGCGCGAGTTGAATGCTGTCGGGGTCTGAGGTGAAGGGTGAGAGCACCCTCCACCGTCCGCACGTCTGCAGTGCAGAGCAGTCTTTGACAACCGTCGTAAGCTTACCCCTTACTCACATCGCGTGTTAATTTTTGTTTTAAAAAATGACAGAACTGGTGTTTTTATTTATCGCCAAGTACGGAAATACAGGTTCTGGATATGTGTACTGAAAGAAAGGCAGAACAACTTTTTGTCCTTGCTTTTAAATGTTTATTTTTTTGCTATGCGAGCCGTTTTACTATACTGCCGAAAAGGTAAATTAGCAAACAATATTATATATTTAACAGAAATAATGATAAAGAAATTTGTGATTAAATATTATTTTGTTTTATTATTACTTTAAAAATTGAAAATGTTCTTAAAATAATATAATACTAGCGTTTATGTTTTTGTATAATTTGTCGCCATGACTTACTGATAGGGTTACTAGGTGACAGCACAAGCACATTCCTCAGCTCTGCATTCAACTCGCGCGCCTACAGTAGTTCTTTTTGCGCGTTGTGGATACCTTGAAATGACACGCTTAAGACTTCTAGTCTGTAGCGCTTCAGTAATGTTTAGTTCCCTTATTGTGACTGCTACAAAGTGGCGCACGCGCATCACGACTGTGGTGCTGCAACTGCGCTTCTAAATATTGTATGAAAATCAGTAGTGGTGCGGACGCAACGTCATAGTCAGTCAGCGCTTATATAAGCGTGTAATTCGAAGGCGCCCTTGAAGTATAAAAGTCATAAAACACCGCGTTGATTGTGAATACGACTGATATGGAATTGTATTGCCGGCAAAAAAGACCCTAAGGTGTCCCGAAACGAATTACATTTACAATTTATTGATATTTTAGTCATAAATATGAGCTAATTTGCACAAAATACGATGCAAAACCCTTTATACCAACTATCACATTCAATTATAACGAATCTTAAGCTTCGATAAGTTTCACACATTGACTGTTGAGGGGTAAAAGCAGTTAAGTAACATTTAGGTTAAGTAAAAATCTATTAATATAAAAATACATTTTACGAAACCATTGAACTGATTTAATGTCATGTGCTGAACCTGCTAATATTATAATCCATAAATTTTACTATCCAGAAATAACTAATTTTTTACCCGAGTGAAGCTTAGCCCCTTTTACCTTTCAACCATTGATACATTTTTAATCTAATAATTTATAGTACCACGAGAACATAACCAGCCGTTACTGCTTTCATTTCGAACACGAACATTACAAAATTAATCAATTAATTGATCATCAAATGTTCACCTTTATAAAAGTGCTCATCATATGGGCAGCCCCGTATCTTTGCCATGTGTTTAATTATAGTGACCCTTTTTATCAACCTCTTGGTCATGTGGACAGGGCAATATAACCGCTACAAGCACAGGGACCTTCTAAGTTCAGGTACAGATCCCAAACCAGCTTGTGTACAGAGTTGTCACAAACTTCATCCGGTTCTTAAGAGGCTAGTGCCTCGGGTAAGCCGGCCCGAGTGCACGTACAATATCCTCCCTATATTCCAGATAGGTATGGGACATCACATGGGCAATAAAACAATCATGGATGCAAGTAACGTGATTTATGGCTATATTTTTGTACCTCGTACACTTATCTCTCTCTATAGTACTCGTATACTTGTACGTACTTGCTGTCTGAACATTTCTGAGCCCTCCCAAATAAGCATACTTAATTCTAGACCTGGTTCTTACACACTCACTAACTAAACTGTATAATTTGCTCCACAATAGTATGTTCTGTGTTTTTAGGGAGTGTTGTTGAATGATTTTGGTCAACATAGCAAATGTTCGTGTTCGATCATAACAAGAACTGAACAAAATAATGTACCAATCCATTTAAATTTTTTTTACTGACAACACGATCATGGATGACTAGATCACACAGGTCCATATTAGCTGGTCAGTGTATACAAAACTCTATGTGCGACCAGTCACGTATCTATTTGTATCAAAATATAGTTTGTAAAACTCATCGAACCATGTATTCGCAGTTGAATATTCAATGTACTTGTAAGTATATTGAATATTCATTTGTCTGTTAAATTATTATGTTATTATTATTATTAGATAGTGCTCTTTGCCACTGACATCGATTTATTCTACATCTGTTTAGACGAAGTCCTGCTTATACGGTTTTAGAGGGTTCCGTAACTAGCTACAAATCCATCTTAAGGCGCTGTGGTGTCTTTAGGATATCGAAATAGAATATGACAGAAGCTAATAAGCATTATGTGCCATTAGGTTTAAGTTTCATATGGTTAGATATGTTACCGTAAGATGCGACAGAACGGCCATTGCATTGGCTTGTATGGAGGTGCCAGCATCACACATCCAATTTACAGGCGAATCTGCGATGCCGCATTATTCGCCACGTAATAACCGATCGTTTTTCGCATGATTATGTGCTATTATGGCTTTTAGACGAATGATTACAATAATGATCTGAATATGTTACCTTATTTTTAATATAACGTTTTTTGTAGCATCGCTATGGAAAAAATTGGTAAAGATTTCGAGAACCGTCTACTAACACACTGTATGGCATGAGTAACTATTTCTATAATCGTAATAAGAAGTACATGTCGGAGCTTCATCTGGAACAGTGTTAAATAAACCAATGTCTCCGTCTCCTCACCTCGGCGGTGTTTTCATAGCTTGGGTTCGCTGGTGCTGGGCATGTCGACCGCGGCGAGTGTTGTGTGGGCGGGCGCAGTCGCCAGACTGCCCTCGCTCTCCAGACGCGCATACTCGCTAGCCACTAGGGCACGAAGCTCGTCCTGCACATGATGGGGATTGGTTTTTCAAACGTGGGTAATTTCAGCGTCTTAAAATATTTATTTATTGTGCATTGGCTTGAGAGCCATCTAGTTAAAAAGGTAACGTATAAGTAAAAAAAATTGAAAACGTAATTAATGTAGAAGTTACCTACTTATACTAAAATTTTACATTGTGATCACAAAAGTTTACGTTGTGGGCGCTGGATGCAGAGGTCGCGGGTTTAATTTTCGGTATAACCGATTAGGAAATGAACTTTTCTACATTAGCTCTGGTGTGGGTGTTCTGGGAAGTGTCACAGAGTAAATTCCGTTGCTCTGGTACTCATAGTACAGGGAATTCCCTAGTTTGAGACCACGCAATTATTTCCTTTTTTATAACATCAAGTGACGGGACGAACAAGTCGTGCGTCTGATGGTAAGCGTGTAGCTTACCATCAGACGCACGACTTGTCGACTTGTCGCCTGTCCACAACAGTTGCAGTGCCATTCAGAGCCTTAAATCGCAAAGATCTGAGGGGCAATGCCACTGCGCCCGTCACCCTGAGACATAACTTGACTAGTCCCATGTGCCTGTAATTTCATAAATTGGTGTGGTTGTTAGGCATATATTATTATACATTATAATTCGTGTAAAAACTTTAACCACAAAAAAAAACCGCTCTGGGCTAGCAATATCCCGTGTTTCTAAGTCGATTCTAGCGCATGTCGCGCCCTGTCGTTTGCATTGCTAAAATATTATTTACTCGCCGTAAAGTAGGTCATAAATCATCGGAGCGAGCCAGGACTATACTTTAGGGCTCAATTTATATTACGGCGGAATGGAATGGAAGCGAATTTTTGTAACGATATTGTACTAAATTAATTAGTAAGTTAACGTAATTAACTTTATGGTCAATTATGTAACGTGCAAACTAGATACAAGCCAAAAATCACGTCACACGTCTTCCGTAAAATTCTCGCGCTTGCTCGACCATTCGCGGGAAATCTGAAGCATTCCAGCGACCGCGCGCGCCTTCTCGTGTAGCGAGGCGGAATTCACGCTTCCATTCCATCCCGTTCCGCCGCAAAGTAAACTGAGCCTAAATAAATATTTAATAATTATATGCCACACTAAATAACCTGGATTCGATTTAGGGAATTTCCTTTACTATGAATGAGTATAGAGCATCGAAATTAACTCCAGGGCACTTTCCAATGTCGTGAATTACTGGCTAGTCTTACTATAAGGACATGATGAGAATAAACAAATGTGAGTATTAAACACCAGTAATGTAACTCACCCCCCAACCAAGTTTGTCAGCAAGTTCTTGGCATCCGTCATCACAGTCCCCAAGTCTGGCCACATCGCGGACTGCGTCTTCATCCAGCTGGAGTCCCTCACCGGCTAAGCCCCAAAGCCTTAGAATGGGTGACCTCACGCCTGCCTTTTCACGGTTGATAAGCAGCCGGGGACACCAGTCAGGTACCCTAAGAAATGTTTACAGATTGGGAAGGTAATAAGTGAGCATTGAGTGACTGTAGTTGCCGCAATACCCCTTGTATGCTAGATGTTGTTGCGTACGACAAACTGTGGGAAGTACAGTCAGTGTCAAATGATTATCATTCAATTTGTTAAAAAATAATTGAGAATATATTACTATTCAATTTTCTTCTTTTGTGAAATTACTCCACGATAAGAGTTTGTTATAATTATTAATCAATAGTCGAACACAAAGAAAAATTCTTTCGATACAGCTGAATTAAAATTTGTCATAAATAATTTTGATAAGTAATTTCACATAAAAATAATTGAATATCATGGCAGTAAAACATCGTGATAAACTTTAAAATTACAATTGATTAATAATCAATCTGTCTCAATAAACTAAAATAATATATATTATTATATAAATTTCTTCAATACATACATATTCAAATAATTTCCCTTTATCGCATTAAATATTTTACTTTAAATTGTTGCCACTGCATACCGTGCTGTTCCTTAAATGTAGAGACATTTATTTTTGAGCTTAAATGTTCCATTATTTAATAAATGTAGTGGTTTCATGTGGAATATCTGCTCTTTTGTTTGAAACTACAATTCTTCACAAAACAATAATAGCAAGTGTAAAATCACTGACATAGGGTTGATTTTTATCAAATGTTTAGGAACTTTTTAACACAACCACATTTATGTGTTTCAAGTTTACAAGTCAAATAAAAAAAATTAAGAAAGGCGTTTTTGAGAACCTTATAATATATGAAGTTTTGTTTTATCATCATTTCCTTACAAAAACAAACAAACATTTAGCTAGGAGTCTACTACTATGTTATACTTTAGCTGTAATTGAGGCTATCAGCGCAAGTGATGTAACTTACATTTAATTTTTTCTCTACATAATGATTTTATATTTTGATGCTATTTTTATGTAAAAAACAAATTTATAATTAAATATTGTTTATACAAAAGAAATATATTTGTTAATATAAATAAAGTAAAATAATAAAAAACATAAAACAAATACAGTGTCATTTAAAATAATATTGTAATTTTTTATGTGGGTTACACATAAAAAATTACAATATTTTTTTACACCACATTTGTTCTATTAGCCTCAATTATGATTTATGATAGCAGGCAGAGCACGGTGGCAGATTGTTGGCTTCTTGTTGAGAGGTCACCAGTTGAGGTTAATTTGGAAGATACATATTTCTTTAAATTTTTAGTAGCAACTCCTCTTGGTAACTGAGAAAGAAAACATTGTGGCGAAGTCTGAATATCAGGGTTCACCACCATTGGAAGACATGTGACGTCCCCAACCTGAATAGAGAAAGCAGAGGTCAGTATCAGCTTGGACATGATGATTAAGTAACTTACAGGTCAATAAGAGAGGCGAAAGGCTGCACTTCAAGTGAGGATCCCATGATGATGAGCATGTCACATTGCTGGAAGTCTTCCTGCACGCACCGCTGGAATCTGCCGGGTAGACTTTCTCCAAAGAACACTATGTCTGGTTTCACCACTCCTGGGCATTCCGTGCATATAGGTATTTGATCGGCGAATATACGTTCTGAAATTGATATTGGACAAATGTTAATAATTTGAAATCAGTCAACCAGATTATGAACAGAGAGTGATGTTGCAATTGCAAAACCAAATTTGGGTGATATGCAATTAACAGTCCTTCACGCTAAAGCGACATAACCGGATCTGTGAGTTGTGTTGGTTTTAGCTGAACTATCATCTAACGCGAAAGGAAATACTTGTTTTATGCGTGCGCAACTTTGCTAAATCACGAGAAATTGCGGCGTTTTGTGTCCAAGTACAACACACTTAGATTCATTCAAGTGTTTTCCAACAGACCTATACTTAGGAGGCCAAGTTTATGATGTCATTAGTCAAATTTCATATGATAATAACAATGCACACCCACATAGCTTCACACTAGACAAGCCCTGTATTGCAAAAGCCATGGACACACACATAGATAACCACAAATTACACCCAGGAATCGAACCCGGGACCTCCAACCTAAAGCAAAAAGAGAGCAGACTGTACAGTCTGACATGAAGTAGAGGAGATGCCTAAGCAAATGTTGAGCTGGAATAAGCTGGACTAAAATATGCCCACTATGGAACAAAGACAATTGGATTGAAGAAAGTTCAACAGTTTTTAATTCTATTAGTCTTGGTTCTGTGTTGCAATAGCAATCATCAATTGGCGGTTTGTCAGATGTACATGTTGTTGCATTCCATAATTCTGTCGGCTGAGTTACCTTTAACAAAATCCAAAGAATATTCCTTGCGGCAATCCAAACAGTGAGAGGTGTAGAAGGTACCATGAGCCTCAACAATTTTGTCTGCAGGGATACCTGCACTTCGTTCCAACATATCTATGTTTTGTGTGTAGTGGCGGAGAAGTAAACCTGCAACATTAAAGTTTAAATAATACCAACATCATATTTGTGTCAAATTGTCCTACTACAATATGAATTGTCTCATCACGTGGAGGGAAGGGTTGATGGGTTATAACTTGGAGCCAACACATGCAACTTCAAAAATTATTTATCTAATATGCTATCCAGAAACATGACAATGCCAAATGTAAAATGCTTAACTAAATAATAAAGAAATTTAGTTTCAGTTTGTGTTTGAGTTACGCTTAGTGATCAGCAATAAAAATGTGTAATTTCTTATTAACATATGTATAAATAGTTCTTAAATGTATTTTAAATAAACACTTACCTTTTTCATTCAAAAGTCTGATGAAATAATGCGAAATGGTAGGTTTGAAACTTCCGGGAAATAATTCCTTAGCCAATGTAAAGAATGGCTTTGGATTCTGTCTAAAGAAATTGATTTCAAATATTGCCTGAGGTTCAGGAAGCTTGTATTTTTGAAGGTTATGGTAGAGACCTGTTTCTGGACTTCTGAAATCTGGTATTCCAGCCGCTGAAAGTAATAAGATATGATTTCAAATAACAATTAACTTATTAAAAAATTTTTTTAAAAAGACTGCCATAAATGTAGGTAAATCAAGAACAGAAGACAGGATTATATAGAAGAAAATTGAAATGTTTTAACAAGCATGTAACTATTTTTAAATACTTATACTTTTTTGTGTAAAAACAAAACAAAAAATAACTTGCAAACCACTTAAAAGCATAAAAATATATCATTTAGGAGTACATTAGTTGTATATTTATTTTGAGTGATTAATACCTTTTAGCATGCATTTTCCGGAATTTATGAATATTCCACCAACACATAGAACTGTACTGACCTTGAAATTCTTCGAGTAAACAATGACAAAGGTTAGATTTTTACATTACACTAATAAAATTTTGACATTGTATTTTTTATGTTCAAATCTTGTATTTCTGAGATATTTCCGCAGAACCGTTATATAACTACAAGACTTACATGTGGATATGCCTGCTCCAGACAATGTTATTATATTCTTGCATCTGTCGCTTTTTATCCATTTTACAATTCCGTCTAGAGTGACTTCGTCTAAAACATTTTCAACGGGTACCGGCGTGTCCGATGGCTCGTATAATCCCAGTTTTTGGGCTAAGTATCGCCTAATAGAGTCTACATCCAAGTCTCTAATTCTCGCACCAAGACTTTCGATCGGGTTTGGCGGGACAGAATGTTCGACAGTTTCGTCACCTGAAGTACAAAATTTCTCAATTCACATTTTCTTGGCTTATGAAGTGATATATTACTAAATAAAACTTACCTTCACTGTTTCCTGGTGGCGAATTAGCAGACATTTTACGAAAATATTGCAAATTACGACTCCAAACCTTTGTGCGTTTTTGCCACGGTTTTATTGACAGAATGGAGCGCATTTTTGGAAATGGCTGCCGATGACGTTACGTCGGTGCCAAAGTACATTTTTTTTATCTCCTTTAATTTTTTTGTTTAACGAAAATTATACAATTCTAAAAGGTTTCGTTTATATATATGTGCATATTAATTTCAATTGATAGTTGGAACGCACATAATAATAAAAAAAAAATTAGTTCAAGTTACAGTTAACATAACTGACTTTGTAAACGCCAAAGCATTAAGGCGCGCGTATTAAATCCATCTTAAAATTTAAATCCCAAGCCAAACTATACTGCCCTCGGAATGAAAAAGGGCACAACTGTCGTATAAAGTACGCATAGTGGTGTCTTTTTTCGTTACGAGGGCAGTATAGAATGCTATGTGCAATACAAAAGATGTGAGTAACAAGATTAATTATTATTATAGATAGGTGTAAGCATTGAAATTTTTAACGATATAATTTAAAGTTTTTGCTTAAATTTTGTGTGAATCGAACAGTCGAAAAGTAAAACATTTCCGCAACACTGAAAAACGAGTATCCCATACTGAGTCCGCAGAAACCCCCAATGTTACCTGTAACATAATATTTTTAAAAACATACTTAGGTAGGTATCAAGTTTCCAGAAAGTGCACAGGCGTGTTACAAAATAAAAAATAAAAATTTTGTAAAAGAGTCCCGGTATTGGTTATAGATCTCGATCTACTACGTGGGTAACCTAGGAGATAGCTAGAGAGAGGAAAAAAATAGATAGTTATTCTCTCTCTTGCTATCTCCCTCCGACAAGGCACCAGAATATTCCGTTATCACTAATGCAATTTGTGAGCTAAATTTGAAAACCTATTAATCTCAGTTTTTGGACGAAATTTTATTTTTACTCATAACAACAGTAGATCTCATTTGTGAAAGAGTTCGTCCAGGGAAGTACTGCCACCTTACCTATTTCTGCCGCCAAACAGTAATAATGTCAGCATTACTGTGTTCCGTTTTGAAGGGTACGATTGCTGATGAAATTGCAGGCACATGGGACTTGTCAACTTATGTCTCGGGGTGACGAGAGCGGTGACAGTGCCCCTCAGATCTTTCCGATTTAGTTCTGAATGGCACTGTAACTGTTATGGGCAGGCGTGTAGCTTATCACCAGGCGACTTGTTCGTCCCGTCATTTTGTATTAGGCAATATCGGGCAATCAAAACTTAAAATATAATTTGTAGACCCTTTTTTTTATTAAAATAAAGATACAATTATAGATTATCATACAATTATTTCTAGTACCAAATTCCGTTTTTGTGTCTAAATTTCACCTTAATGGAGGGTACGATTTACGAATTTAGCCGATGACTAGTGGAGATGCTGTTGACGATATTTGCAGGCGAAAACAGCAATAGGTTCAAGTACATGAAACATATCCAGTCCTACAGTTCTGTGTCGTTATGGTGGAAATCCTATGTTGTGGTTTCTGGGGCCACAGGTGAAATTTCTCAGGAGCTTTCAATTCGTCAAAACTTTCGGCGGCCAAATGGTTGCCAGCTAGGTACTTTTGGCTAAAAAACTCAAACGATCCAATGTGAAAGCGTTGCTAGACAAGAGGTTCAAGTCTTTATAAGTCGTATATAGTGTACCATTTACCCTATTTAATGCTTATTATATTACATTTCTAAAATAGTATTATTTCTATAAATGCGAGGTCTGAAATTAAATAAATAACCATTGGGTAAAATTAATATTATGGACGCAACCATTTCTCGTCATCACTTACAAAGGTGCAAGATAAACATTTTTCTGTGTGAATTGTGGGCGTGTTACGTGAATACCTTTATAACAGACTTAAGGGTTTACCTAGATAGGTTGGAATTTTTATACACTTACATAGAACTTCATACCAATAATAGACAACATCTATACATGTTAAAGTATTATGCGGCATGGAATGAAATATACTCAACATACTTTTGCCCGTCATATTTATTTCTTTTCTGAAAGCAATTCATAGTTAGTTATGTACTACATTGCTTAATTTGATATGTAATGTAGTGAGACATTAAAATATAAATAAGATAAAACTTTAGGTACTCCGCTGGAGATGAAGAAAGCCTTTGTAGTTGCCATGCTAAGCACAAGCAGACACACAGGACGCGCAAGAAACTGATGCAAAACTACAGAATATACACACGTAAATAAATATATAAAATCCTTGTCGTCAAATTGGTTTATTTCCGTTTTGTATTCATTTGTGTAGTGTTGAGTGAGCTCGCAATCGGGCATACATTCATCGCAAAATGTGGAATCCTGCAACTCCATTTCTAAGCCTGTAGTATCCTTAGTGTTTATAGGATAGATGTACATAAGTTTTCCTAAAATACAGGAAATAAAATACTTATTTATTTAAATTATAACAACTAACTCGAATAAGTGACTAATCGAATAGGTTCCGAGTCGAATTCCAAACACTTAAACACACTGTAATCTGGGAGGGATTTGATAATTGATTAATGTCACAATTATTATTTATTTATAGGGACATCAACTTAAAACATGGCAAATAATTAAGAAACTCAAAACATAATGTACTTAAACTAAAAATAATTCGTGAAAAAATTATTGTAATTAACAAAAACCCGCCACTTTTTTTTTTGTCTCACTATTGTTACACTGATTTACCATTAATGTCACAAAGAACTCAGTGTTTTCTCAATTCGCTCTAGGCCTTTTGGAGGGAAAAGTGTCGTTTTTATTTTGACTTTCAATTATTTTGTGAAATCTAGTTTAAAGTGGAATAGTATAGTGCTATTGTGCCTTAATCGAAGATTAAAACGCGAAATTATACGAATCTCGAACTAAAATATCCGTATCTGCCCGTTCTAAGGAATCCCGAGCCAATCCAAACACGCCGCCTCAAATTGCCTATCCTCTTTGTGGCGGCCATATTTACAGAAACATAATTAAACGAAGACATGGCTCAAAAGACTTAATAATGTACCAAGATTTGGCTGTATGGTGTAAAACCTTTGCCTTTTCCTTTATGGAAAGAAGAAAAAAAAAGTCAGTGTTTTCTTTTTTTTATTATTTTTTAGGCCGGGCTACATTTTGGGTCGCTGAACCAGGTGAGTATTTTTTTCTTTTGATCGTGACATAGGCAAAATTATCATTAGAAGACTTAGAGGATGGAAAAAAACAATAGTCTAAGTTATAAGTACCTAATGATGTCTAACTTCACTTTACAGTTCAATTTTTACGGCTCCAAAAAATAAAAAGTGAAGTGAAGTGGAATTTTAATATTTCAGTCTGTTTTTTAGACTGCGTTTCATTTATCTTTAGAAGGCTGCGGTATAGTTTCGAATAACGAACAGATATTTTTGTTGCAGTGGTGAATAATTTCGCCTTTAAGCTCTCGTCACATTGAGCCGGTAGCGGGAGCGTTCCGGGTCTGGGATAATGTAATGTTCGAGTTCATAAGTACCTTGCCACATTGAAGCCGGGTGGGCGGTACATAGCTGAGTTCTATGCAACCGTCCACACAGAGCGGCAGCGGCGGCGGAGCGCGATCCGGGAGCGGGGCTTTGCTGGGATTGCACGTTGTCTTTTTTACAACTCTTAAATGTGTTTTTTTTAAGTTTCAATATGAATTCGACCGACATTGTCAAACCAAAATAATAAAATAATCGAAACCTTTTAATCTGGGCATGAGCCTCAACGTTTCCCACCCACGGATTAAAAAAAGCAAAGCATGACTCCATCCAATCCATGTTTAAAAGTATTTTTGAAAATATGTACTATCTGACTTTTACTATTAATTTTAAACATACATACCTTTATACTTATTGAGGCATTTCAAACGATCCAATGAGCAAATATATTTTCTTATCGAACTATTCATAACCATATTGTACGGTGTACATTTGCACAGAGACTGAACGATCTTGAGGCGGCAAAGCACCAAGCAAGCACTGTATGAATATACATATGCAAATTCTGCTTTTCCTTCGTCATGGAATAGACATCTTCTCTGTTGGCAAACTTACACATTTTATAATAGGATTATACATGTATAGTTAGCCTATTAGGGGTGCACGAAAGAAGCCTCTCCGTACGACGACGTACCTACCATTCGTTTCCTGTGTGTCTGGCGCACCCTGGTCAATCGACGAGTACCTTACGCCGATTGCAAATCTTTTTCACTACGATGGCAAGCATCATAGTTCTTATACAAGAAGACAATAACATAGCCCCACTGCTGGCCTCCTCACATAATAATAAGATTTGGTAGTGGACTTTAGAGTCGACGGTTTAGCGGTAGCAACCCCTAGTTGTGCAATATGCAAAGGGAAGTGAGCGTGCCTACAGCTCAGGTACCTATCTGGAAAACAGGGAGGGTACTGTACGTGCGCTCGAGCCACTAGCCTCTCGAGAACCGGATGAAGTCAAATGACAGAGGTCTGTGATAACCCTGTACACTGGCTGATCTGAGGTCAGAACCTGAACTTGTAAGGTCTGTGCGCAGGTTATAGTGCCCTTCTCGTATACCTTAAGGGTCGGAGGGAGGGTGACTATAATCAAAACTGAGGTAGAAAGTTATGGGGCTGCTGGCCTCCTCTCACAATGAGAGGGCTTGGGCTGTAATTTCAAACGCGAGCACACTGTGATGTGGGAATTTTACACATACCTAAGTATTGCTTTACAGATGTGTGTAGGTTTTAACACGATGGTTTCCTTCACGGAAAAGCTCATTATAAATTTCGAATGAAATGTTTTGAAAAATGATTAGATTTATTTATTATTTTATTTATACATATTATAGTAAAAAAAATTTATAACGATATTAGCAAGCGGAGATTTGTAGGCAATAATAATAATATTAATTTATTTCGTACTCTAAGATCCATAGTATTCCTCATAGTAACAATGTAACATAGTGTTAGTTACAATTGAGTATATTTTAAATTTAAGCAGGTGAAACTTTCCGACAGAGCGGTGCGTGACTTGAAGCCGCATGCAGCCGCACCCAGCGCCGCAACATCGGAG